AGATTCATATCTGTGGAGAGGCGACCCCACTCACACTTGTAGTTGAGTAAATGCAAGACAGATTAGTTTAATATGGTAATGTGGACAACTGAAACCATCATATTAACATCTCCATCGAGACAAACTGGTAGGGGACAGAAAAGTTACACACTGCACTTTTAAACTAGCCTGATTCATCAGCCGCTTTCACTTCTTGGAAACTGTCTGACATTACAGCATTAGGATTTGTTCGCTCGATGGTTGCCGTATAGATTTTTTATTCAACCACTCGCTGCTATGTGGTCGTGACGTATGTAATGCGCCAAATCCAGTAGGAAGAAGGGCAATGATATTTTTCCCCTTGATAAAATTCACCAAAATTCTCTTTGTTCCAGCTTTAAATCCTCAATCACAGGAATCGTTGCCAACACAGAATGTATGAGTTCTTCTACATCCATCTCGACCTCTTTGTTTACTGTTGTGCTGTACCACAAAAAGGAACAAGACAGGCGCTTGAGTTTGACATCATGGCTTCATAGCTCTTCACTGATTGGCTGGTACATGATCTACAACTTCTGATGTTCTTGTAAAACCCAGTGTGTGTAGTGTATTCCGATTCCTGACCTAGTCGCTGGAGAGAAATTAAATTGAGCGGAGGCACTAGGTAGCGCCAGCCTGGGTACCTTTAAACTGCAAGGAATGGCAAAAACAACAGTGTGTGTGTATATATGTTCAAATGAAACCATGCAATGACAGCTTATGTCCAGACACAGTCCATAGTTGACCTAAAATGCAAAAGAAATGTTCAGTGGAGACTTTATTATATGTATGTATAAAATGAGAAAAAAAAAAAAAAAAAACACACAAATTAATGTTGGTAATTAAGCTTCTGAGCACATCTGTATTCTTGACTGACATTTAGATACATGGATTGAGTGAGTCAAGCCTCAGGCCAAACACAGGGTCATTACTAGACATGCTGGCACAGAAATGGACTGGTGAATAGGTAATGCAGACCAATCAACACAGTAGCCCTCTGGTGAGAAAATTAACAAACATTTCAAAGGTGTAGACCACGGAAAGATCAAAGCCTGGGTTAAAAAGTAGTTAACAATTGGACTGTTGCTATAGCGATTATAATTCAAACCAATGTACAAAGCAACAAATATTCACAATATTCATGTAGTTTAACTGACATTTTTGCTTAGACGTGAAAACAGGAATCACAAAAGTAGCTTATGGGCCAATATGTCACACAGGGAGTCATTTTATATAGTTCTAGTTGAGTTCACACAAACACTCCATCATGAAAAAAAGGAAAACTACTAGAAATAACAAAATACGCATCTTTGCCAACAACATAGAACATCAACTGGATGATGTGTGCGGTGACGCGATGAGTAAATGCTATACGAAGAAACTGTATATTTGAAGTCATCAGGAGTAGTACTTCTAGGCCTTAAATCACCATAATGTTTGACTGCTGGAGCGGACTACTTGTCAAATACTTTATGATGTACTTTGACAACTTTAGACATGCGGTAGATGTGTACTTAAATATAAAGAATAACAAACCCTAGGCAAAGTAGAAGATTTGAGATGTAAGTCGACAAAATGAGAGCACTTTGATATATTGGGTTACAGCATGGGTAAAGATAAGCTAAAAATATCAATATTACAAGTAGGGGAAAAGTATGTATATGTTAAGATGAATCTACTCATTAGCATGGCTTTGGTGGCTACATTAATATTCTATGGAGATGATGGCGGCCATGACCGTAGGCGAGAGGAGAGAGAGGAGGGCTGGTGACATGCTATAGAGATCTGTCACTTGGAGGAATAAACTGGAAATATGAAAAAAAAAAATTATACATGTATATTTAAAGTGGAATTTAACACAAAAATCCAAGTGTTTATGTCTATATGGGATTTTAATAGAACTGTGTATTGTTCAAAGACATTTTCTGGAAATATTAGTGCAAAGTAGCAAAATTTGCACCTTAAAAGTGCTCAGAAAACTCAAAAATACCAAATTTTCCAGTAGTTGGTAACATCACGAAAGCCTACCCTGATTAGGGGGGCAGAGTTTGAAGCGTGGATATCTGTTTCAACCAATCGCACAGTTCCTCATACTCCAAACTCCACCCTTTCTCCCCCTCGCTCTCTCCTTTTGTCCAACTCTATTTGAAATATGGTTGTGGGCAGAGTTTAGTCCCACTTTATGTGAAAATAGCACATGATCACATAAAAGAAATAGATACACAAAACAATGCAAATGAATGAAATAAAAATGAAAATAAATTGTATATGGGAAACATCTTCTATTGTCCAGATCAATAGTACTTTGTTTTCTACAGAGCTAAAACAAAGTCTATAGCTGATAAACAGTGAACAGTTTATATTTACTCCATCGTTTAAAATGATGTTCTATAATATTGAACTGATTCTTGTCTTAAATCATACTCAGTCATACATTTTGTAAAATACATACTATATTTTTAAACTTTTAATATATGTTTGTTACTCCCATAAGAACTAACTTGTATTAGCACTACATCATATCATTTGCATTGTACACTGACATGTTTATTGCCAGTTATTCACCTTGTTGACATCATTCATTTAGATCCATTGTCCGAGAGTGTGTAGGTCTCTTGTTAATAAAACTTGGTCCCAGACGGCAATGCTGTCCCCACGAGCAGCATGCAATTATTGAAAACACTAAACAAAACGCGCTGGAAACCCTAACGCTGGTAAATAATACACAATCACACCACCTCTTTATGAATTATACATGTCTAGTACTTGACAAGTGTTCACAGTGGCCAGAGCTATTTGTATTCTGTGCACTGGTGGAACAATGACTGTAGCTGGCTTTCCTTTCTCTCCAAGAGGTAATTTCTGTGATTAATTGTATACAGTAGGGATATTTGTGTAGCTCTATGTGGGGAGTTTGTCAGGATTAATGCATGTTCTGATTGCCATTGGGATAAAAAAAAACACTTTATGAGGTGTATTAGGCAGTCCAAATGTAATGGATGGTTTAATATAGCTTAAAGAAGTTGCATTGCTAAAGCTAAATGGGACTTTTGAGACTGCATGTGTAAAAGTATTTTTGAAGAGCGTGGGCAATAAAAGGCGTACCAATATTCCAACATGTTTGGTTTCTAAAATTACAATAAATGCATACATGAGCCAATGAGCCAGTGGAGAAACAGAAGTAGTTGGAAAGCGCAGTCACAGGGGCATTCTTGCATTAACAAACGTAGTACAAGATTCAGAAATAAGTACTAGGTGTATTATGTAATTTTTTTGGCTGGAGGTCCGTCACCTGCTTGTTTCTAAGGATATGTCATTGCTCTGCCTGGAATATTCCACAGTATGACATTAGATAGGTTTACATTTATTCAATAACAGGTAGTTTTATTGCTCACAAATACCTACCTCCTCCCCACAGATCTGATTTGTAACTTGGTCAAGTTTGATCTCCATGAAGATAGAAAGGTTTAATATCATACTGTGAAACATTCCAGCAATAAGTAAAAAAGCATGAAAAAAAGCATTTGGCGTACCCTCTACCAGAAAAGTTACACAATGCAGCTTTAAACCAACTACATACCACAATACATTTTTTCATTAGAGAAGTTGAAATTTCCACTTTGTATTTCAAAATTAGCCAACAAAAAAATTTCAGCAGTCATTTTGTCCTTGGTTGATTCCTGGTGTGATTTTTAAGAAAAGTAACCATTTTGAAATTCGTCATACATTTTTACACACAATTTTAGTGACCTTTAAATGAACACATTTCACTGCAGAGTTATCACACCTAACTATAATCAAACAGTACGAGTCTATTTAAAAAGTGAATGTGGCCAGATTAAAGTGACTGATAATGCAGTTGTACATCGGGCATTCTGTACTCGCGCTGCACTCCAGACTTTCTCCAACAAAGTCAAGCCTTCTTCTGAATTATTTACTGCCATTCTCTGGAGAAGCGGAGTCCACTGTCTGCTCCGACCCCACACAGCACTGCGCTTTCAAAGCAAATGTGCTGTCTCAGTCTGTACTTGTTCATTAAAGAGAACTCTAGTCAAGAGTAACTTTTAACACCTCAGAATGTACTTATTATTGCAGTTAATTACTATGATTAGTGCATCAAGGGAAAGCAATTGCCTGTGCTTTGATTTCATGCATAAACTATACATTTAAAAAAAAGCATAAAGCCAAAAGTTATCAAACCTTTTTGTCAGTCTGCTAACATTACATCCTATTTATTAATATTCATTTATGTTTTTGCAATTATAAAGCAGCAAATATTTGAGTATATTTTTCACACATTCTGCCACTTTTGTTTTGAAAATAGAAATCACAAAGTGTTTTATGGACCAGTATGTCTTATATAGTTCTAGTTGAGTTCACACAAACACTCCATCAGAGGTTAGCGTCTATAAAAATAAATAACTAAATAAGCATATTTGCCAACAATATACAGCAAACATCAACTGGGTGTGTACAGTGAAACAGGGTAAGTGCTATACTGTGCTTTAATTTCACACATAAACTATGTATGTAACAAAAAGCATACAGCCAGAAGTTGTCAACCCTTTTTTCAGTCTACTAACATGACATCCTGTTTATTCATATTCATTTATGATTTTGCAATTATTAACTTTTTGCAGTTTAAGTCTGGATGTAGTCTAAGAGTTTACAGTCTTTTTTATATTCAGAACAATACTGCAGACTGTCTTGTTCTATATTATATGGAGAATCACTGTACCACTTGTATGAGAATTTTTTTTTTTATTGTTCTTGAAACTGTTCAAGAGACACACACATTATTCAGACAAAAGCACAAAAAAGCTAAGACTCAAGTGCATTGATGACTTTGACACAAGTGCTGCATTATTGATAGATTATAGATGGTTTATATTGTGTATCGATTGAGTGTATATACTATTATGCTTTGTATATGTACGTAACACAGATTTATTAGCATGACTATGATTTTGTCTGGTCCTTACCTTGGCGATCTGCACACACCAGTTGAGCAGCAGTTGTGAGCCGATGTTGTCCTTATGCTCGTGCACGTAGTCCAGGAGGCAGCCGTGGGGCATGAGCTGAGTGACCAGCTGAATGGTGGGGCTCAGACACACCCCCAACAGGCGCACCAGGTGAGGGTGCTCCATGCTCGCCATGATCAGGGCCTCCTGGACATACACAGACACTATCAGCTATAGAGCAACAAGCAACAAGCAAAACTGGACTGTATGTAAAGGGGTTTATAATGCAACGCAGAAATGTGCAATTCTGCTGTTTCAGTCAGTATGAAAATATCTGTCACATAAATGTTTCCTTTTGTGTTCAGTTGTAAATTACGTTGGCAACCTTCCTAATTTATCATCACTTAAAAACCTGCATGGACTGGAAGTAGATAACATGTAGGATAAAATAAATTACTATTAGGCATGTCATGAAAACAAATTCTGAAGTACAATGTATCACCGAAGAAAATATAGATGATAAATGATAATATTTAAACAAATTTATGCCCCCGCCACATTAACCATAAAGTATAATTATCCCCAAAAACTACTACAAATGTACAATTTGGGTAAAAAGCTCAAACTGCAATACATAAATAGCAGAATGAAACCCTCTGGTACTTTTTTGTATCTATGTGTATGTATGTATCTAGTTTGTATCTATAATGAGTCATAGAAATTATTTATGCAGGTCTTACAGCTCAAGTCTAACTGTAGAACAGGAAAAATGGCAAAAACTTCCCCACTAGAACAAAGAAAATCTCTACGAAAAATATTGATCCTTAAAATAATGTCTCAATCAGTCATGTATTGAATAAGTCGATACAGTATTTATCGTGACAAGCCTAACAACTATATATATATATATAATATAATCAAACTGAATATTTTTGGGCGTTTTCCTTATAATTCAGGGCCCCTTTCAGCCCTCCTTACCAGCACCCCTAATTAGCAATCCTAATTAATGTGTTTAATGTCATCAACTATTAACAAAATATCCAAAGTACATATATATTATCTATCAGTTTATCTCTATTTTGTACAACAAGAGCCGGTCTGCGTACCACTGAATGTATCTCTACAATAGTGTGAGAACCACAGGGTAAGATAGCTTCCTAATTTGTACTATTCACTGTTGCTTATGTTCAAGTCAGTAGTCATTTAGTAAGTGACAAAAGACAGAGGAGAACAGGTTCAAAGAGGATGTGCATACTGTTTACAAGTCCAGACCACATCTCCAAAGATCACAAGAGCCCTTATTCTGTTTTAGCCTCCACTTTCTCTTGAACTAAGTCAGGAACAGCAGAAATATAGTCTAAACCTGACATCAAACACACTCAAAGCTTTGTAGTAAACTGTTAATATGTAAAGGTGAAGGGCCAGCTGTTTGGGACGATTTTGGGTGTATTCTATGACAAAGAGCATTTTATGATCTAATATGATTTTTGGAAATATGATGCTTATTTCAATTATGGAGGCTCAACTATTTCAGAGAGAACATGCACATTTGAATGCCTCAAACAGAATTCAAACATACAACCTTCTGGCTATGTGGCAAGTGTAGCAACCAATTACCAGTTACCACTTCATCTACTATTATTTTTAATACTAATACTGCTTCTACTGCAACTACACTAGCTACTACTAATCCTATCGTACTACTGCTACTGCTACTCCAACTACTACTACCACCTTTTGCTATTAGTACTGCTAAAAATTAGCCTGATTCATCAGGCATCATTTGACCTCACAGCATTAGAATTTGGTCGCTCGATAGTAGGCAGGTACTTTTGTTATTTAACCAATCGCTGCTATTTGGTCGTGACATATGTAATGCGCCGCTAACAGGGCTAACTGGTATACTAAGCTTTTCCCAAATCCTGTAGGAAGAAGGGCAATAACATTTTTCCCCTTGATAAAATTCACCAAACATTCTCTTTGTTCCAGCTTTAAATCCTCAATCTTGGGAATCGTTGCCAACACAGAATGTATGACTTTGTCTACATCCATCTCGACCGCTTTGTTTACTGTTGTGCTGTACCACAAAAGGGACCCAGACAGGCGCTTGAGTTTGACGTCATGGCTTCACAGCTCTTTGCTGATTGGCCGGTGTGCGGTTTACAACTTTTGGGGTTCTTGCAAACCATCTAGTGTATTCTGATTCCTGACCTAGTCGCTGGAGAGAAACAAAATTGAGCGGAGGCACTAAGGCTACGTTCAGACAGCAGGGCTTAACGCTCAATTCCGATTTTTTTGTGAAATCCGATGTTTTTGCGAGGTCGTTCACATTTCCAATTAAATGCAACTTGTATGTGACTCCAGTGTGAACAGTAAACGGCCTGAAAGTGTCCGGCATGTGCACTGGAGACACGACGACGTCAACCGCAGCGAGCGTGCTCTGTGTTTACGGAAGTTGTCCAAACATGGAGGCGAGCATTGAGCACCTGGTGATTTTAAAGTTCCTCTCGTACCGGAGCCAGAACATGAACAACTTACTTGTTTTAAAGAGGAGATTGAGAAGGAGAAGGATGAGGTTTTTGGCCATGGTGTTTTGTGGGGCAGTGGCAGCGACGTCCGTTGAAAGGAACGTGTGAATGCGGAGATGTAGCCAAGAGTGGTGAGTGGCAATGTGCATCGCTTCAGTGACACGGAGTTCATTAACAATTTTCACCTACTTCAGCGCAGAATAGTGAGGTTTGTGGCTTGTTGATAACGTGTAGGTCGGATGAATGTGCTTTGGCCGTTCAGACTGAAGTCGCATGGCAAAAGATCAGATATGTATCGGTTTCAGGAGCACATATCCAAGTGGCCTGGGTCGCATTTGAAAAAATCGTATCTGTGCCGTTCAGACTGTCATTAAAAGATCAGATACAGGTCACATAGAAGCCAAAAAATCGGATTTGGGTCACTTCAGGCTGCAGTCTGAATGTAGCCTAAGTGGCACCAGCCTGGCTAGCTAAAAGTATGCATTCACTACAACTTAAATTGCGCAACTACTATCACTGCATACATATAACCTAGATAAATAATATACGTTACACAGAGTTTAACAAGATTTAAAATTACTATATGTGAAAACTGTGTACCTATGATTTGTTTATGCTGCCCCCATGTTCAGAATAAATCAATAACTAAGAGCACATGATGTTGCAAACGTATGGCAAAATGCATATTAACTGCAATCATTCACATGAAATGCTTAACCAAACAAAAATAGAACCTTCATCCATTAGGAGCGACTGTGAAGCTACTTATCACTTGGCACCACACGCAAGTTTTATGGCTTTCTCCGACTATTCGTCACCAGATGGATAGTGGTGCAAAGTACATAAGGTAAAACAATGGGTTTGGGTGCATGCATTTGACTGAGACAGATACTATAGCAAGAGTCAAGTTTCAAAAAAACTACTGCAGTCTAGTAGAACGTATTCCCAATATACAGTAATTCTCATTTATTAGCTTGCTGGGGAAGACCTCTCCAACATTTACACTCATTGATTTGCTTATGTGGAGTACACCATTGAGTCTAAGCATGTATTTGAACTAGGGCTGGGAATCACAGGGTCTCTAATGATTCGATACCATACACAATACATGGCACACGATACAAAAATATTACGATAATCGGTATATCCCAAATGGTACTGTGTGATATAGTGCACCAAATTTCGTGCCATTGTATATGGATATGTCAGTGTTTCACACACACACATCCTATGAATCTTACGGTAGGGTCCATGGCTGTCCACAATGACCGGCTATTCTTGAGACTTGGCTCATGAAATTTGGCCTGGTGGCGATCTTTGCTTGTCTCCAAGGAAACAGGTAAGTTTAATGTCAGATTGTGGAACATTGTAGGTAAAGCTATAACATTTTCATAGAGACAAGCAGGTGGCTGACCTTACACTAGAAAAGTTACATAGCTTTAACAGAGACACAGCAGGGATGTGTAAAGAGTTGCCTCTTACTTGAATACATTTGATTTAAAAACAGATTAAAAAGTCCAGATGATTAACGTGCCTATTGAGGAAATGTTTCCTCATATTTAGCAACTTCGCAAACTCTTAAATAAATGAACTTTGCTATTACTTTTTAAATGTTTGTATTATATTCAAAATGAACTATTTGGCCATGTGGGTTTTGGGAATATTAACTGCTGCAGCATAATAAATAGTTGGATCAAAATGAGTCTGTTTGGATGAAATTCCTTTTGAAATATGAATGAAAGAACAGCTGATTATCATCTTCATTCTTGAGGGAGCTGGCAAACGAACAAATGCCCTGGAATGTAAAAAGGCCAAGTATTCACGTCTTTTATCAAATAGTGCTACGGCTAGATAAACTTGGATCACGATTAAAAGTTCATTTTCACCACCATTCTTTTTAATGGGGCTAATTTTTGATGGTTAGACACAAGAGCATACAATTTAACATAGGTTATTCATCAAAACCGATAAAAATAGAAATGCTATCTCCAAAGGTCTTCCTAGTAGGCTGTCTAACTAAGTGCAAAAACATGAACACAACTGGGTCGCTTTCGATGCATGCCTGTGTTGATGTAGTAGCGTATTTCATCTGGGTTGCATCATCAGGCTAATAATTTAGACACTTTTTCAGAGTTTAGAAATGGGTAAATGTTTCATAATAGGTCCTACTGTGCTGATGGGGCCAGTGGCGTAATGTGAGTGGTATCCCTACAGACGCTAAAATATAATGCATTATTTCAAACATCAAATGAAATACTTTGAAGTTTAAAGCAGCTTATTAAGAAGTATAACTACTTTACCAACAGTGAGAAATATTTTACACACATGTTCAGACTGTACTTACATCCATAAACTCCACGTTGGCCTTGGGTCCAGTCGCTTCATTCAAGATTTTGATGGCCACTGGGATCTTCACCGTTTCACCTTCAGGAACCCAAATTCCCTGAAGAAAACACAAGTCTACTCACCGACAGGTAATTTTTCTACATACATTTTCTATTATCTACATTAAATAGAGTGAATTAATATATTAACACCAACAAACATTTTAATATCACTGATAATAGTATTTTTTGTTAAAAGCACTAACTAAAATACACTGTATGATGCATCCAAGTGGGATAGAGATTAAATGCCAGGTGCTTGCCAGTGGATACACAATATCTGCCAATTCATGGGTTTCAGAATGATGAAAATTAAATTACCTCTTATAACTACTTCCTCTTCAAACAGCCACACTTTTTGCATTTTGGCAAATCCTCCATATTAAACGTATCCAGCTACTTTATTAATATACTGCAGATACAGTATGTCAGTATAATCTAATCTCTCATTTGTCAAGGAGTGGTCGATCATAAATGGTAATTGGTCACATTTTTATTTAGCACTTTTCCACCTTCAAGGCACTCAAAGAGTTTTAGATCAAGGAACCACTCACCCATTCATACACGCACTCACACACCAGTGTACACAGACAATGGGGGCGAGGGGGTTAGGTGTCTCACCCAAAGACATCTGTGGGAGCTGGAATCACACTCCATTGTGTGGATTTATGGATCTGACTGCTCTACCAATACGTACATATTGCAAAAATAATGATCTATATTCTCATCTATTTCTAGCACTGAGAAGACAGAGCAAGCTGGAAGTCCCGTCAGTATGGAAGTAGACTTAGAGTTGTTACATGTTTCATATACATTGACAATATGCCTGGCTGTACATCTTACTTACTTACTGTTATCTTTCCCTTTTTTACCTCATGTACCAGAAAAACTACAAAAAAATAAAAATAAAATGGCAATACTATTTTCCCCCTTTCCTGGGCTACAGCAATTTAAATAAATATGTGCGTGAAATAAATACAAATATTGATATTGTATGGCTAACCTCTGGAACTCTAAAACCAATGTTTAGTAAATAGAGGCATAATGAGAAATCCAGGAGTGTCCCACGTGCCCATAGTAGCTAAATGATGTATGTAGTAGTTTTGACCCAGATGTGAGCTGTAATATAAAAGGCTGAGTGAGGATGACACTTCCATGACATAAGTGAGACATCCTCAATATCATTTCATTGGCGTCTTCAGTGACATCCCCTCACCTCCAAGTTACACTGTTGGTGACCTCAGCTCTCATTTGCCTGGTCCCCTGTGGCTTCACTGTGTGGGCCATTACTTATTCTATTCATCCCCCGCCTCCGGACACCAGCTCATTTCCTGCCATTAATAACCCCACCGAGACCTCCTCCCATGACTTCACGGTTCAAGAAAATTATTTGCTAGGCTAGTGTCTTCATTCATACAAAAAAATGAAATAAAAAAGCAAAATGTTGGTAGTTACCCTGTAAACAGTCCCAAATGCCCCAGAACCAAGGATTTTGACCCGTTTGAGCTCGGTCTCCTTCAGGATGCGCAATTGGGCCTGGTTGGGTGCTGTGCCGCTGGGGGTTAGGGGTTCCACCAGCTGAAAGAACAAAAATAACACAGACAATGAATCTATATATAGTCAATATGGTATAACATAAGAAATGATTGGCATTAAACAGGAACTTTTTATCAGAACCAGTATAGAAAGTGCACTAGAGATTGTTTTGCATATAAATAAAACACACTGTTCTTTGTTAAATGTCCAAACATCTCACTAAATATGGTAAATGGTCACATTTTTCTATAGCGCTTTTCCACCTTGAAGGCACTCAAAGCGCTTTACAACAAGGAACCATTCACCCATTCACACACACATTCATACACCAGTGTAGACACTGTGGGCAAGGTGGGTTAAGTGTCTTGCCCAAGGACACAACGGCAGCATTCATCTGTGGGAGCTGGAATCACACCAGCCAACCTGTGGGTCAGTGGATCTGACCGCTCAACCTGTGATGTTTATGTCGAGAGCTGGATTCGAACCGCCAACCTTCAGATCAGTGGGCGAATGCTCTACCAACTGAGCTACTGCCGCCCCAAATATCATTGATGACAGTATTTTTATTTTTTTATGTGTACAAACAGCACTGACACATCAAACTAGTGGGATAGTGATTATACCAGCAGGAGCTTGCCAGTGAATACACAGCATCTGCCAATTCATGGGTTTCAGAATGATGAAAATAAGGATGGTTGCTATAGTGATTAACAATAAAAAAGGATCTATTTGAATGGGAAAATGTCGTCAAAATGTTGCATAGAATAGGGAGCTAAAACCTAAAAATGTGTTTCTGTTCCTTGCTTTTTTCAGGCAGCTTTGTTCATGCCTTGTTCTTGTTCAAGTCTATTCTAGGTGGGACTCAGACCTAAAATGCTTCAATGAAACACTTATACTAAAAAAAGTGACTAACACTCGAGGCCTTTTATGATTATGTTTTGAATCACTCACAGTTTTTGAAGTCTATGATATCCTGTGCCAAAACTTTTCACCTGATTGGAATGGCAACCTTAATGAAACATAACTGCCAGTAATTAAAGAACTAGTGATCTAAAAAGAGCAACACTTATTTGTGCTAAATCAAACCAAACAGGGCCAAACTAAGAACTGCAGAGCTTTCTAATTAATTACAAATGAATTGACTATTCAAGTTAGGTACTTCTTAACAAATTCCTGGATTTTATGAGGCCAGTAAATCAATGTTTACCAGAAAGATTCGACATTCTACAACACGTATATCAGACTCAAGCACTGATATTATCTTTGAATAAGTAGAGCAGTAAAAGATCTTAAAAACCTAAGAGAGAAGAAGTAATGAGAAGCAATAGAAGGCAGGAGAAACAGAGAGACATGTGTAACGAAAAACACAGCCCGCAGTGTCCCTCTGGCTCATAGTTACCATTTGATTAAAAACAATAGCCATTCTTCATTTAAATGGAACAACAAATCAGTGTCCACAGGCGATACACAAGCAGAGAGGGAGGTACACACACAAACACATTAACACACGCACAGAGGCACATTACATTACATTACAGCTGTACTAGTAGAGCAGGGGAGCAGTCTGTAGGGCCAGTGAGTGCAGGGAGCTGTCCATTTGCTGTGGTGCTGAAGACACACAGGAGCTGTCCATGTGTGCTGGTGCTGAACTCAAGGAAATACAGTTTATTTGAGTTTTATGTGTATGATGTTGTTGTTGTTTTTCTTTCAACAAGTTTTACATGGGACAATGCCTGGTCAGTTGAACAGATAGACAGAGATGTACCTAAATAACAAAGGATTGCAGGTTTTTGAAGGATTACAGGAAACAAAATGAACACCATCGACTGCTGTGATAAGTGATCAGTTCCTTTTTTTTTTTTTAGGAACAATTATGTGTCTTAAATGACTATAACCGTAGACATACCTTGTACAAAAAAATAAATGTTTTTGAATAGTACAAGGAAATTGGTTCATTTTACAATAAGGATACATTGTCTAAATATTTTTACTGCCAATATCACGGCTGCAAGAAAACTTAAATGAAAAAATGAATCTGAATATCTGAACTCATCTAAAGTATTGAGGGTATGAACTACTGGCTTGGATTGTCGCAATAGGCTCTATTCACGCTTATGTCACAAACCAGGAACATGTTTGGAAAGATGCAATTATAACTTCCAGTGTAGCTACCGACACTGGGCTCGCCAACCAGCTGTGATAAAACCTTTTGAAGTAAATGTGATCAGTGGTAAAATGAAGACTGCATACCTATGTGTTGTTTGGAATCATCTTGAATTTGGCGCCCTCGTCTCTTCTAATCACATGTACCCAGTGTGCTCGGAGTTGTGGGGCAGTGAGGAAATGATGAAAACTGAGGTTTGGTTGTAAATGTTGATTAGCCGAACAGAACCGAACGCTCCCATTGTACATTTAGATGAAGAAAACTGGGCCATTTTCTCATTTTTTCCTAGAACAGAGCCAGCTGGAGGTTGTAATCGCATCTTTCCAAACGTCATCCTGGTTTCTGACGTAAAAGTGAATAGAGCCTATTGTCAATCTAACATTCAAAAGAAGGTGATGATTTCCAAGACCAACTCAAGACATTTTGGTTGTAACTTTATTTAATGCTACAATGGAATTTAAGTGTGTGACTGTTCAAAAAGCGTGGTAAAAGCATACATACAGAAACACAATTTATTGTTTAATGTAAAAGATAAGATGAAACCCAAACTGTTATATGAGTGTCAGTTAAGAGGCTTTTATTACATTATTTCCTATTTTAATAGCTTTACTATCACCGCCACTGTGTCACTGATACGACTTAATCTGGCGTTGTCTAAAAGAAGAAACAAAGCGATAAGAGTTCTTGTTAAGTAATCTGGGTAATTGAGAAAGAGCCTGTGTGGAGCATGAGAGCAGTATAATAATATGCCACATCAGGACCACAGGAGTTTGTCATTACAGCACCAAGCATCAGGTATACTTCAGAACACTTGGAGCCCTTTTCAAAGCCTGTACAAGAGCAGGGAATGGGGCTCTCGTCTGCTTTTAGAACACAGGAGGAGCACTTGGTCTTCAGATGATGCTGCAGACCTGGACCATTTTCTGATACAAGGGTCCTCACTAGTAACACTATGGAAATGCCAACATCTCTATGGAAAATCTGCCATAGTATAAGTTTATGTTTTTACTTTCTTTCACTTTTACTGACTGAAGTAAAAACAGAAATATTTGTTCCTAGTTCCTACTACTTTCTATTTGAATGCAGGTGGGTCTGAAACCATACAATAACGTGCATCAAACAAACGTCCTTATTCGGGATATGCCAATTACAGCTGCTATTTTACGTAGCTGCAATTTTGTGTCCAAGCCCCGGGGCCTAAACATGACCATCTATTCAACACAATGGACTGAACTGAATGGTGTTCTAGATTAGCCTTTAGTGGATAGGTATGTTTGGTGACTCTCCCGCCCACTGGCCATGCGCAGTAGTGCTCTTCTCCCATGCAAGAATGGAAAGAGAAAAAGTTTATCATCTTAAAATAGGTTAAAAAAATAAATAAATCACCACAAAACCTTTTTTGAAAGCTGGAGATACCCTGTCAGTCAAACATGAGTTGTTTGTGATTACATTGGAAAAAACAAAAAAAAACAAAAAACTTTCTGAGCACCAAAAGGTGGCCACTAATCCAACTCAAGACAGCTCTAAAGTAGCACTAGCATATTTAGTTATTTTAATAGATAATAGTGTCTCTCAGATGTAGAACACATCTCCTCATGATTATTCTCCTATAAATCAGAACAAAATGTATAACTTCTTTTTTTTTATTTACTTTTGATACACTGGTTGTTGATTTTGTAGATATCTGTGCCACTTCTGAGCTCTCTGTGATTTTCTTTTTTACTCATAATCTGTCATGTTTGTTTTAACACCAACACGCCATGCCTTTCTCTCATTGGTTAATGTGAATGTCAATCACGACCATGGAAAATTGGGGAAACAGGACGCAGTTCCACACCTCTAGTTTTTCATAGCAATAACAAGCAACCATTGCATTGTTTCCATAGCCACTCTTACTGTAAAATGTGTAATTTCCTCTCTACAACCAACCAGTTTAGTAAATCATGTGACCATAAAGGCATATTGGCAATTTGTAATAACTACTCATCTAGAATAACTACTACTAATACTAGATATATATTTATTTTAATTGAAAGTACCACCTCACCTCTGTCTCCAAAAAGCGTCGCAGAGCTCTCTTCTTCTTGATGTTCTTGCGTCTCATGGACACTGCCATACCCAGCACCATGATGACCACCATGAAGAGACCTCCTATCACCCCCGCTGCGATCAGAGGCGTCCTGCACAAGAAGGGGGCCAGAGAGAGGAGGGAGAAAGAGGGTGAAAGAGGGTGAAAGAGGAGAGAGAGGGGGAGAGAGAATGAGTGAGAGAATGTGAGGGAGCGATAAAGCAAAGAACATCAGGACAGGTAGATTCAATTTTGGATGAAGACAGAGTTACACTGTAGTCAGGCAGCATGGCAATAGTGTTAAGGTGCTATATTACGCAAAGCTGACTCTTGTGATTTGTTAGAATGTTATTACCTCTTCAAAAACATACCTAGAGTTATGTTTTGTTTCATTAACACATGTTTGAGTTTGAGTTTACTTTTAGTCTGTCTATATCTCAAACGCTCAGGATGCTCAGACTCACCTTGTGATGTCATGAAGTGATAGATTTCAACTTAATAGTTACCTTTTAGTTTTAATTCAATAGAGATGAGCAATTCAAGAGCTGAAATTAACCAAATGATTCTAGTGAAGGTGAATGGAAATTAAAAACACAGCTGAGCACTTCTTGCATAACCACATGGAATCACAAGGTGAAACAGCGTGTTTTCTGTTTGTAGGGTTTTTAACATGTTGCGTTTGTGTGTTAAATGTGTGAATAAAACAAAACACAACTCAAGGTATGTTTTTGATAAGGAAATAACATAACATAGATCAGTAATGTTGAGCCTGACGGGGTTCTGGTAAGTCACTACCTTTAATATATGTTTGACGGATGGTGTTAACTACAGTGAAAATAACACATTCTAGAAATTTCCACTAAGGAGTAAAGTATATGTCCATTAGAAAGTACCTTCAGGCAGATATTTAAGGCAGTGATTTTCAGAATTTTGTCAAAACTGAAGAAGCGTTCTGGATAAATGACAGCTACTGGCTGACAACTCCCTCTCATAAATCTTCTTATTTGAAAATTATAAGGAATATTTTTACTTCAATGTGTTTATATAATCATTTCAGAACTATAAAAGGCATAACCTAAGAAATAGATCTCTTTCTGAAGAACTGTGAGATCAGTCGTGAAAATGGAGAAGAATTACCATTTTGAAAACATGAATAAGTGTATCTACCCGATGCAGATGTAGGTCATATTAACACACCTCCTCACCTCTTTACTTTTACTCATTTTTTTCTTACTAGGCTTCTCTATGCTACAAATATCCTCCATGGCCTCTCATTAAAACTGAGGCTGAGATCAAAAACATGGAAATAACCATCAAAGTGAATTCTAAGTGCTGTGCCAACGCTGTCATTCGAAATCAAGGTCCTCAATAATATCTGATACCCTGCACGGTACAGCTACAGCGGAATGAGCCCCGAAGAAATTGGCTTTTTCAATGTTCTGAAAAGAGCCTAATTTGGTCAAGGTACACTGGGGCTCTGTCTTAATCAGTACGAAAAGGCTGATTTGAAGTACAGGCCTGGTAAAATATTAGCACCATTACACGCTATGCTTTACTCTCTAGAAATGAGATCTAAGATTATAGCGGCAGCCAATTTAAAGTATTCTTTCATCAGCAACCATATAAGGTCAGAGTATCTACAATAATGTTTAGTCTTACAAAGATGCAATCACGTATTAGCATTGGTTGGAAGAATACTTTGATAATAGAAATAGAATACTGACTGCCTGTACAAATACAGTTGCTCAACACCATAGACTGATGTTTTAGCTTCTGATGAAGTTGAGACTGCTGACTGAATAAGAAAGGGTTTGTAAATCTTTTCCATTTTATTGTTATTATTTTTTTTTCAATCTTGGAAAATATCTCAAAGAAATGAAAGTATAAATGAAAGATGAATTGAAGTAGAATTTTTATTACTAGTAATATCAGCAATTTAGAGTTTCTGTGATCAAATATTAATTTTTGAAGAAATTGTAGCACATTTCAGATTTTGTCCTTCTAAAGTTAATTTTAGTAATTTTTATCATCATTCTGGTCCTAGTTAATTTAGAACAAGCTGGATGACTCTCCTGATGTACTTGAGTACTGATCCACTTGTGGCCACCTGGTTGGATTAATTTTTGTTGTTTGCTTTTGTAAATAAAGTATGATAAATTCAAAGTAAAGTAATGACTATGATTTTTTATTTATTTTTTTAACCTGTACAATAATACATGATTGTGCAAGATGTGATTAATTGATATTATCTTGAGCCTGTGCGTTAATGCCAGCAGAAGATGCCCTTTAGAGGTTTAGTGTAATCATGTATTTGTGATAAGCTGCGATTTGTCACGCTCAGATCCAGCCATGCCAAACAGGTGAGAGATGGAGAAGATACAGGGCTTCTGAGCATATGGGGGCGAGGGCTACTGCCTGTTACACACCAGACAGTTATCGGTCTGCTGATAAGAGCTATTCACAGGGTCAAGCTGATAGCAGTATCCCACCTGCTCTGCACAAAATCAAACAGGTTAGGAATAAAAAGGGAGCTATGCAATATTGCTAATTGTTTCTCTTGGCAGGAGAAATCCAATTTTCATTTGTTGTGCTTTTCAATTATAAGACCGGATCTTTACAATAGTCATTTTCAATTGTGCTTATGACATTCTGACTAAACAAATTTCAATTTGTAAACCCAATTTTCCACGTTATGTTTATACTTACCCAAAAGAAATGTCACTGCTGAAGTATATTTAAAGGCAATTCTGTATAATCTTTAAAAAGAATCTGTTTTATAGTTGAAAAAAATGCTATTTTAAGCTACAAACCAAAGCTACTAAGACAGGAAAGATGTATATTTTTATTAGGGTCGTTCCAATCAGAAGAAACAGAAAACGCACACCAAAATTCTTGTAGAGGTGCAAATGCAGGGAGCATCGGCCAACCGAGTGTGCAATGCATTTTTTCACCCAGGGTTGTTCCAATACCAATACTGGCATCAGCAAAAGTGCAAAGCAAAACAATTATCTGATATCACTCTGTATTTTCAGAATGAGGACCCGTAGATGCAAGGACTGCAGCTGTTGACGTCTGTTGCTAATGCTGCCACTAATGGCCCAGAGCAGGTTAAATGCAGAATATGGAGGCTGGGCAGACACTTAAAACGCTCTAATAATAACCACATCGGTACCAGCGAGTACACTAAGGTCAAGTAGTGGTATCGGATTGGATAAAAGGTATAAATAAATGGTATCAACCCTATTTTTGTAGATCTTTTGGTATTTGAATTAAACAAATGAAATTAATTGACTATGCATGTGCTAATAACTATTGCTGTTTTCTAACTGGATTTTTGGCTAAATGAATGTGTTGAGCAATGCCAGCCATTCTCTGTGCCACCTGATCCCCACCTGGCTCCTTCCTGTTTGAAATCCGTAAATCTATTTGTTGTAAACACTTAGCGGTAGTTTGTTCCATTTGCTCCCTCTCAGCCTTGGAACAAAAGCTAAAGTGCTATCAATTTATCAAGCGGCAGGCAGATCACACACACACTCAAACAAACACGCACATGCATACACACGCACACACGAACAGACACACACTGCTGGATTTTAGCCTCAGAGCCAGTCATTAATCAGAGACTTTGCTTACTGTGATGTTATTGTGTGTGTGGGTGTGTGTGTGTGTGAGTGTGTGTAGAGGTAAAGCCCAGAACAAAGGGAACCACAACTAATTATTTAGTACCTGTCCATCCAGCCAATGCAATCCTGGAGTCTCGGTCCAATACACCTGCAAAGACAGAAGGTGAAAGAAGTGCTCAAAGTCTGCAGTAAAGTTATGACTGCCTGTCCAGAGTGGGGGGTGCCCTTGTCACATCTGATCAAATACTTAAGCTTGTTGTTTGCAGTAGGCTGTGTTCACGTTCTACAGTTTGATGGTGTCGTGATCTCAGATGGCGGACAAGGGTCATTAATACTCTACGGAAGATTCACTGTTTTTGGAAGAAATATCCAAACTAGAAATCCACAAAAACTGAACCTCATTATTATTTGTTATGGATTGGCTCCACAAAGCTGCAAGATTAGTTTCATATCTAAGGGCCTGTTTACATGAGAACACTTGCAGGTAAAAGCGACAAAATATTTTATCGAAAGTGCCTTTTGTTTAGACGGTGACAACGTTTGGGGGGCTTAAAAACACAAAAATCTAAAACCACCCTCCAGAGTGGAAAAGTTGAATATGCTCCGCCATGGCATTTCCGTGTACACTACCCAAGATGCAACAAAAGCAAACCACTTTTGAGTCTTCTGTTCAGACCATCATATAAATGTAGCCTTAGAGGGCCAATATTTTGCTATTATCTGATCTATGTTAAAATGTTGTTTTCTCATTACAAACATACTTGGAGTTGTGTTTTGTTTCGTTCACACAAATCCTGCATACTTAGGCCAACTTTTTCTCTCAAACTGAAAACACTTGTGATGTCATGTGGTAATACAGAAAGTGTTCGACTGTGGTTTTAAACACCATACACATTCACTAAAATCATTTGGATAATTTCTGCCCTGAAGTTGTACATATCTACTAAACATAAAATAAAAATAAAACATGGCTGTTCACTTGAAAACTACTGCTTCATGACACAAGGTGGAAAAGAGTGTTTTGAGCTTTTGAGATGTAGACAGACTAACAATATAGGATTACTCAAACATATGTGAATGAAACAAAACACAACTCTGGGTATGTTTTTCATGAGGTAACATCATTCTAAAGTGGCTTAAATCTCATAAGAGTCCATTTTATGCAATACATGACCTTTAAAGTGTTTTTAACTGGCAACATTCATGTCACTATTGAGCACCACTTTATGATGCCATTATGAAAAAGAAATACTTCATTTTACTTCACTAAATCACTTTTGTTTATCTATTCTAACAGAAAAGATGTTGGACTGTGTGCCAGTTGTGGGTTCATGTGAACAGGCACCGTAATTACAGAGATATTAATCATAAACCAGGTCAACAAATCTGCAATCTGGCAATTAAACAGCTAATTCTAACATAGATGTCTGACCCGTCCTCCAGATCCATTTTAAACTATAGAGATATCAAAGCAGTGAGCCTGGGTTTTCTTAAAATGGGCATATATTTTATCTGAAAATGTTGCAGGAATATCAGTTATGTCTAGAACAGTTCTGAAGCTGTGATAGCAGTTCAAAGTTCATCCAGTATTTCAAGAAAAACAGACCGACTGCATACGACTGAATGAAGTAGCAGCACTGGCTTCTCAGTATGTAGTTTAAGAGTTCTCTTTTTATCTCCATATTTAGACAGATAACATCAACAAAGCCATGTGTTTATGTGACGCCTGTGGGCAAATACAGAGTAAGCAGAGAATTTTAACTTTGTTGGCTCATCCCCAAGTCTAGCTCTTAAGAATCAGTTTGGTTTCACAAGTCTGCTTCACAGTTTTTTTGTTCACCTATCCCTTCACTTATTTGTTTATGCCTGGGAAATTGCACATATTTGGTAATAGTAGGAGTAGTCAGTGGTGGAAAGTAACAAAGTACAAAAGTAAAAGTACTCCACATAAGTACATTTTTATATATAAGTATCTGTACTTTACTAGTGAAGAGAATTTTACAGCTGATATTTTTTTACTTTTACTTAATTACATTTGGAGAGCAGGTATTTGTACTTCCTACTCAACTACATTTTTTTTTAACTGAACACAGAAAAGTAAAAAGTACTTTTTTATATGATTTGAGTGGTTGTTTTAGCACATTCATGGTAACATCCTGACGTAAGGTTTTGACTTCAGTTCCTGGCTTTAAGCAAGCAAAAATATATACTTGAAATTTCACAGAACAATTAAGAAACTCTCTGATGAGAAAAAAAAATCAGCACAGTTCTTCATCAATATCACTACATTTAACACTAACGATTCATATAATCTAGATGAAAAAATATTACTTTTGACTCTAAAAAAACATTTTAAATGGGTACTTCAACACTTTTACTTAAGCAGATTTTATGATAGTTTTACTTTTGCTTGAGTAACTTTTTGCTCCTGTATCTGTACTTTTACTGAGGTGTTGACTACTTCTACTTAAGTATAACCCTAACCCTAACCCTAAGTAGTAGTAGTAGAAGACCTTATTCTGCTTTATCTATGGCACTTCATGATTTTAAACTTAAGTAGTGCGTCTTGTAGTGGGGGTTACATTTAAAGTGCACTATTCTGGTGAAGGTTCTACCACATGCTTTATTCTTTATTGCTTTGTTTTGCAATGAAAACATCTGTAACTCAATAAATGAAATACAGATATGTTTAATGCCATACTGTGAAATTCCAGGCCAAGCAATGACATCTTACAAGCAGATAGACCCCCAGGAAAAGTGCAAAACACCCAGAGACATTAGCAAAAACGTAATAATAAAAATATAAAACAAAAGAGTCGTCGATAGTCAATAAAGTGCCCGGGTCTGAGCTACTGGTAAATACATTCATCACTCTGTAGTGTTAGGAGAAAAAAAAGTGTTTAGCATCTTAAAATCTCTAAGGGTTTAACTGAAATTTCTGTGATGTGTAACGTGTGTAAATGGCATAGTTCTTACTTTTATTCCCTAACCAAATAAGACACTTTTAGCTTGGAAATTGACAGAAATGACAGAAAATATGATAAGCATGGATTCATAGTAGGAACAAAGTTGATTAAGTACAGAAATTGGCTATTACCAGAAAATGAGAAAGTATAATGCAGCACAAAATCCTCTCAGTCTACCCTGAAACAGGTGGTGCTGGAACAGAATGGCTGATTTAGTCATCTAAGGTAATTGACTACACCACACTAACCAGATATAGAGGATGACACTCAGAATCTGGTGTACTTTGACCAGTTTTAACCATAGACTGCTAGTGCTATTACAGTACTTCTACAGATACTACTATTACAATTATGACCAAAAAAAATCCTTGGTTGTAAATGTAGCAAGGTTCTCATCTTACCTTGTTAAAAACACATACCATTTTTCATTCATTAATTGAATATAAAATAGAAGTGGAAAGTAAATAATTACAAAACTTATTGTAACTTATAGACTTACTGTAAGTCGAGTTTGAGGTTATTATGTCGATTTGTATACATGTACTTGTATTTGGGATTGGGTAAAACTCCATATAACTGTACTTTTACTTGAGTACTTACCACCACTGAATAGACTTTCAAATATACACTACCAGTCAAAAGTTTGGACTCACCGTCTCATTCAATATATTTTTTTTGCATGTTTACCACTTTGTACATTTGATATACATACAGAAGACATCAAATAGCTCTACTGTTTTTTTGTTGTTGTTTTTTTTAATATATATTTTATAACCAAATAATAAATCAAATTAGTCCCCATTTGCTTTGTCGAAAAATATTTAGTAAAGTTATTTAAGTTTTTTTTTTTCTTTCCATACATCTTACTTCATATATTTGATGTCTTGTGTATGTATATCAAATGCTGAAAGCAGTAAACATATAGAGTTAAAACACTGAATGCGATAGTGAGTCCAAACTTTTGACTGGTATTGTATATACAGTGGAAGCATTTCTTCCATCCTATTAATGTCCCACACACATTTGATGCTTGCGGCGGGTGCTCTTACCCCTGGGTGCAGTTGGCGTGGCAGGGGTGGCACTCGTTGTTGGCCTCGGCGTACTTAAAGATAAAGCTGTTGGCGCCCTGCAGCCCGTCCGGACATTTCTCCACACAGTTTGGTCCATCTTTGAAGTGAAGGCACTTTATGCAATGCTCTGGGCCCTGTGGGATCACAGCACACACAAAATATAGGGTTGGTTTTCATGGAGGTAACAAAAGAACACCAGTGTATAGAAATAAAAGTCTTAAGCCTCTTTCAATACATTTGCTAAGAATATACACTGCACTTTCACTGTGGAGAATAGAGACATAAAAAAGAAAAATATTCAAATTTATTATTATTATTATAAAATCTGAATTTAAAGGTGCACTATGTAACTTTTCTCCTGTTGGTTCACCAGCCGCTTATCTCCGTTCTGTTATTGCATTGTCAGTGCTAAAAAGTATGAAGTGCTGTTAAGAAAATATCTCAAAACATGCATTTTAACTGTGAGCAGGTCACCTCTCTATGGATCTGATTTGTAACCACTTGCTTGTTTCCATGGAGATAAGTTCTTTTCCAAACAACCAAAAGTGCAGTTAACGTATTGAAGAACATACAACTTCTAATACTACTTCTGTCTGCTACCATTATACCACTGCTATTATCTCCCGTGCATTAAAAAAAAAAAAACTATTATGTTATCATAATCACACATTTCTTCTCATTCTGCAATAAAATGGCTACTTATGTACCAACTTGTGTGTGCATACACCAAACTAAACTAACTTTGCATTTTAACCAAGGTACAGAGTAAGTTGCATTTAATACTAGCTATATGAAAAGTGACTGCCCACCTGTGATGAAATAGTGTCTCATTTTGAAAGACTTGGACTTGGACATAGTGCATAAATGTCACATAAGCAAATTGAACAGGGCACTGGGGTAATTCAGAGGAGTGTATGGAAGACGGACGACAGAGAGAAGTTAGGATTTTACAGAGTTGTGCATGACAAGTGTGAATGAGAAAGAGAGAGACAGAGAAAGAGTTTGAGTAAGAGAGAAAAAGAAAGAGAGAGAGACAGGGAGAGAGAGAAGGAGGGCACATACAGACGAGACACATAAAGCAACACGAACGGAGCAACCCATAATAACCATTGCTCAAAGCACACACAATGACCACCACAATTCGTGCAGCACTGGATTTATGGAGCTAATATAAGAGAGGAAGAGGATGGGAGGAGAGAGGAAGAGGAAAGAGGAGAGGTGAGAGAGGAGGAGTAGAGGAAGGGGCTATGTTAACAGGATGCTCATTGACAAACACATTTGTACACATTATTACAAATACATTTGAATGGGCACACAAAGATACAGTTTATCTAAAGGAGTGTAAGCAGAAAGAAAAAGATGTATAAAACAGCCAGTATATTGACTAAGGCAATCTTTTAAAGCTCGGAAAGGAAATCACAGCAATTTATCCAACAATATTATGGCTATGTGTTTTCAGTCACTCAATAATCTCATCACAAGTAGTTGGAAGTAGACACTTAAAGGTAGTGTTACTGCAACTGATACTGCTGCTGCTGCTACAACTACAACTTACTACTACTACTTACAAATGACTACTTGTACAACTACTTACTACTACAACTACAACTACAACTACTTACCACTACAATTACAGCTACAACTACTTACTACAACAGCAATCACTCCTACTACTGCTACTACTGCAATTACTAGTGCTACTGCTGCTGCTACTACCACTATCGCTACTATCGCTGTTTCTACTGCTACTACGCTCCTACTACCACTACTACTGCTAGTGCTACTGCTCTTGCTACTACTTCTACTACTGCTGCTATTACTGCTACTACTGCTACTACTACTACTACTACTGCTGCTGCTAATACTACTACTATTTACCAATGTAGTAGTCATGTATTCAATTCATGTATTCAACCATGTTCAAGTTTGCTGTGCAGAGTATGATGCATTCAGCTCAGTATAATTATGCAAATTGAAATTCTCACTGCTGTTACGGGCTGCTCTGTTGAGCCTGGCACTTTGCTTTTATGAGACTCTCCCCACCCTTTACTGCTCTCTGTGCGCGACCAATAATCCTACCTCCTCATCACACGACCCCATCACCAGACTAAACTTCATCACCAGAGTAAAGCTCATCACCAGACTAAAGCTCATCACCAGACTAAACTTCATCACCGAACTAAACCCCATCACCAGACTAAACTTCATCACCAGAGTAAAGCTCATCACCAAACTAAAGCTCATCACCAGACTAAACCCCATCACCAAACTAAAGCTCATCACCAGACTAAACCCCATCACCAGACTAAACCCCATCACCAGACTAAACCCCATCACCAGACTAAACCCCATCACCAGACTAAACCCCATCACCAGACTAAAGCTCATCACCAGACTAAAGCTCATCACCAGACTAAAGCTCTTCACCAGACAAAACCTCATCACCAGACAAAACTTCATCATCAGACTAAACCCTATCACCAGACTAAACCTCATCATTAGACTAAAACATGTGTAAATGTGAACAGGCGGCGTTTGTGTTGGCGAGTGTAGACAGTGAATGCACCATATCTCAAGCAAAGACCCCTGCTGTAAATTTAAATTGGCTATCCCGGCATGATACAGGATTTCTGTTTGCTAGTGCGCTCATATATTTATATATTTTGTTTAAAATAATATCGTATGTACTACTTTGTAACTCTCAACTTTTGACTTACGCTCATCCAAAAGGCAGGAATTTCACTGTTTAAAGGAGCACTGAGTAACTTTTCTGTAAGGGGTCCATCACCTGTTTGTCTCCTTGGAGATGTTATCGCTTGTCTTATACATTCCATAATATGGTATTACATTTCTAAAAAACAAAAACATCTTGCATTTCTACAATTACGTATTTTTATTGCTCCAAAATACGTTGAAAAACTGTGAACAGCGATGCCTTTCTCTGCTATCTCCATAGAGATCGATAAGTTTACTGCATGCTGTGAAACATTTCAGGCAAAGTAATAACATCTCCATAGATACAAGCAGGTAGCAAACTCGTAATCAGAAAAAATACATCTCGAGAGCAACACCGTAGCACATCACCTCCATGATGCCACTGAAATAGGAAGTTGAAACCATAAGATGCCATGGAGATAGATGAGTTACACTGTGGAATATTTTGGCCAAAAGAACTGCAACAGGCCCGCTCACAATAGGACACCTTTGTAGTACTATAAAAACAACGATGAATAAAATGAAAACTAAATGAAAAAGAAAATCAAATAATATAAATAATTTGTGCCAAATTCATTATGTAATCACCATGGGATGCATTTTTGTTGATCAGAGTGGAACACACAGCAGGCCAACAGCATATGGGGTCCCATTAGCACATACATTCCATTGTTGTTATTCATTGTATTGTCATATATAAATGTGCTGTGTGTCCTCACATTGGGCCTATCAAATCACACTGTGTAAGCTCTAATGTAATTGCTGTGGGCTCCAGAGCAATAACACGATTGTGGTAATCCATTTGTGATTCCTGTGATGTCCGTATGACGTTTACAACAAGTCCACAAAGGTTACTCTGGGACATGAATACACACTGAAGGACTGTTACAGAGGAGAGGGGTTTCCAATGCATTCCTGTACAGCATTTCAACAATAGATTAGGTTATGAGCAGAGAGGCTAAAAGACATATTTTCAAACAGTGTAAACCAGTAAACTAGAGGGAGGTGGCGTATAGGGGTAAGGAGAGATATAGATGAATCTATTTACTACTTGCTTTTTAACAAGGCAGAAGAGGTAAAATGACTTAAAGCTGGTCATGTGATCGGGGCTGTGAGCATGAGACATTTGCTGTCCATCATGGACACTTCTGCTCAACCACTGCACCATATTATAGAGGGACAGAGGAGGTCATACTCCAACAGGCACCTACAGCTCCACTTAAACACTGATTTATGTAACAGATAACCTTCTATCATGCCAATCACTCTGGTAGGATCAATCTTTGTCAATCTTTGCACTGTTTTCTTCTTATGACCTCTTGTATATACCTGAGAGATATATTTGTATAATTTTATTTCTATATTATATTGTTTGTTATTTTGAATCCATTATTACCATTTATATTTTTGCTCTTTGTTATTATAATATATTGTGATGTGTGAGCTACTGTGTCCAAATAATTTCCCTTGTGTATCAATAAAGTTTGTCTAAGTCTAAGTCATAACATTCAGTAGCAGTATTCATGCATAGAAATAAATAATGTTATAAAACTAAGGCAATATAAGTCACCAATACAATACCCAACAATTATAGGTTTAAATTTGCACATCTCTATCACTCGGCGAGACTTTAAAAAAGAAGTTGTGTTTCTAAATGTCTATACAAACAAATAAGAGTAAAAGGTCGCATAACTTTTTCTCTTTTATAAAACTGAACTGTGCAATATTTTTAAACCTGCCTCCATCTGAACAAAAAGTACAAACACAGACATCCATCAGTCGGTTTAACCTCTGGTTCAGACAGAGCTATAATCAATATCAGGGCTGAAAGCTGTGTCTCAACTTTGAATAATGCTCCTCATCATAGTGGACCACAGGCAAAGGCTACAGCAGGGTCTGATTAATGTGGAGCAAACAGGAGCTGCTTTGAGGCCTGCACTATTTACCTCGCTAGTATTCGGAAATTTTAAGTCATGCTAAATTGTCATTACCTCCTCAAAAACATACCTGGAGTTGTGATTTGTTTCATTCACCTATGTTTGAGTAAACCTTTATTATTAGTCGGTTTACCTCTCCAAAGATCGGAATAATCTGCCTCACCTTGTGATGTCATGTACCTTTAGGTCAGCAGAGACTGGCAATTCCAGGGCTGAAATTATCCTAGATATTCTAATGAAAGCATATGGAGTTTAATAACACTGTAGAGCACTTTCTGTATTACCACATGACATCACAAGGTAGAACAAAGCGTTTTCTGTTTGCAAGAAAAACTCAGACTAAATATGCAGGATTTGTGTGTTAAACATGTGTGAATGAAACAAAACAAAACTCCAGGTATATTTGTGATGAGAGAACAACGTAATAACAGAGATCAGAAAATGGCATAATATGGGCTCTTTAAGAGGTTTATAACTTTTCTGGAGAAGGGTCCACCACCTGCTTATCTCTGTGGGGATGTTATTGCTTTGCCTGGTAGGTTCCACATTAGGACATTAAACTTATCAATTTCCATGGATACAAGCAGGTGATGCTGCCAAGCCAAGTTACACATAAGATCTGTGAAGAGTCAAGTTCGCTCACAGTGAGAATTTTTGAAGGCATCTTAAAGCATTACAAACACCCGACTGAATACATGTAACATAGTTAATGCCATACTGTGAGACATTCTACCTTTCAAAACATGTATTACAGATCAGCATTTTCAACATTTTTCTCTATAGGTCCAAATGTTTAATGTTGTGTAATTGTTGTTCCTTAATTTAATTATTTATTTAATATATCTCATACTAATGTATTTTTCTCAGTTTTCACTACCAGGTCCTGATTGTAAATGAGAATTGGCTCTCAATCAACTTATCTGGATACATAAAGGGCAAATAGTGAGATACATAGAGGTTAAGGACAATCTTTAGTTTTTCTTTAGCTATTCACGGCACATTTCTATGACAATGATAATACTGGATTAATTATAATTCCATACAATTCAAAAGCTCCATAACTCATAAAACATGGACTATATAAAAGAAGGACATTACAGTTTCTTCTTCATGTAGACTTACCGGCCCATTGCAGGTCAAAGAGTCATCCTCTGCTTTCTCGCACTGGGCGTCGCACTCCACACACACAGAGCCATTGGCGTACTCCCGGATCTCCCTGGAAACATCAGCAGAGATAAGAGTCAAGAAACTCATCTAGTGTATACAGAAGATAGAGCAGATAGGGGTAAAGCCACTTGAAATGATAACTCCATGCTCAAAGCCTGCTACCAAAATAAGAGTTGAGAGACAAGATTTCAGAGGCAATTTAATTGAATTAGCATGAAAGAAGTGATGAGATGAGCCACAACCAGTAGATAAAACCATAACACATAACATAAGAGAGATGTTGTGGTCTAAGGCTGGGAGATACTCACAACTTTTTTCTACTTTTAATATTACTTTAAAAGTATTGTTTTTTGATGAAGGTACACTGGGTAACTTTTTTTGGTGTGGTGTCTACTTGTCTTCATGGATGTGATATTGCTTTGCTTAAAATGTTCCTCAGTTGGACTTTAAACTTATTTTTCTTGTATTTATTCAATTACAGGAGTTTTTTTGTTTTTTGCTTAAAAATACCTTAAAAACATGAATTATTGAGTCGCCTCTCTGCAAATATGACGTGTAACTTTGTCTGGTGGCTTATCTTCCTAGATATTATGTCATACTGTGTGGAACATTTTAGCCAAAGTAGCAAAATCTCTAATCAAGACAAGCAGATGGCGTATCCTCATTGGACTTTTTAAGGAATTATTATTTTCAGTATAGAACCACAGCCATAGCCCATCTATCTCTCTTTTATTAGAGCACATAAAACAATTGCTATCCAACCCACTGAACACATTCAACTCTACTAAATGAAAAAGGGAAAAAAAAAGAGCATAAAGCTGAAACATGCATACCCTGAAAACTGGAAACCCAAAGTAACACACTGGAGGGCGTGCAAAAACCCGTAAGTAAATACAATGATGAAACATTATATTTTCATAATTTAAGTATTTCAACTTGGTCTGTAACAAAGATCTTAACATGTACAAAGGTCACTAACTTATAGAAGAAGCGTTGCCAAGCTGCTCCCATGAGAATTGGAGTTAATTAGCTAACTGATAGCATCACTCAGGACGGTGACACAGCAGCTGAGAGGCGGCATACCTGCGAGGGCCATACTCTTTTAAAAATCAATTAAATTAAGTGCCTTGTTATTCAATTTCTCCAATCCCTTTATAATAGCACCAGAGTGGCCAGGAACACTCATTAAATCTGACCACAATGCGACTGGCTTGGCACGCTGCCTTTGTCACCGCTGGACAAGGATAATGACTTTTGGGGGACTTCTCTCTGGTCAGCGGGGGAAAACATACTGGTTAATCTCAGCAACAGAAAAACGCAGCATGGCCCGTGGGATCCCAACCAAATGAGTAATTAATTATTCTTCATCTGGCCTTCATAAAACCTTGGCCAAGGTAAGGCTGTGTCCACATACGTGCTGCTGGAAATAGTAATAGCTCCATGATATCACTGTTGCTCAATACAGAAAAGAGAATAAAAATAAAATCAGAATGACAAAAGCTGAAATAACTATAAACTACAAAATAAATTAAAACAAAACTACAACTAAATTGTATTAGGTATACAGATGAAAAAGTGTCAGTAAGTGATATAAAAACACACAAAACATCTGATGTGGCTGTGGTAACAGGTAGGTAGTGATGGTGAGCAGAACAGGGTGGTGCTGGTAAGCCAAATACAGGTAGGGGGCGCTGGTGAGCTGGAGGACAGGTAGGCAGGGCGTGGCCCCGTGCGCAAGCATAGACTGTGACACGCAGTGACACGCCTAGCCCCCCTGCCCCACATCCTCTTCTCCATCCCTGTCAGATTTACTCCTGAACATTTCCCATGAGTCTGGTTTTGAACTGTGGCTGATCAGTGTTGTTTTGATTTCAGACAAACCCAATATTTAAAAAAAAAAAAGTGACACAGATCTCATAAAGCCACATTTTATTACCTGTACAACATGAATAGAATATCTGATATCTTACACTTTCATTGAAAATAAGCTTTCTCTGAATCAGCTGACAGCTACATACTGCTGTGATGGGGGAAGTCTGTCATTACAAGAGAGTCTTGTAAATCTAAATAGTAGCGCAGTAGATGCATTAGAGGCCTGTAATCCTCAGGCCTACAAGCAGCAGCAATGCATTGAAAACAGTCATTATTCTGAACTTGAAATCACTGCATGGGTCAGGAACACTTCCAGAGGACATGGCCTGTGAACACAGGTTGTAAAATGCATGTTAAAGCTGTGATCCAGAAAGGAGAGGATCCAGTATTCTTGGATCACACTGTATTTGATTAACATTTAAAATAGCTTTAGTCCACCTCGGTTTCCACACCTGATATGTACACTCTCCTCGTCGTTCCTTTTGGCTTTTCCCTCTTGCCTTTGCCGGGGCATTTCTGTTTCCTGGCATGCAAAAATATGTCATATAACTTGTACATTTATGCCCTTTCTGAAACAATCCAATTGTTGCACTTGGTTCCAATTAAAACACACACTAGGCAGTGAGGATTACCCTGCTGTTATTCTATAGGTTATTCATAAAGTGCTAATGCCTTTCTTTTGTTTACCAGCCATACTGCGTTAATAGTAATAAACTTAAACTTTGTGAAGCTTTATGCTTGAGAGTAGTGCAGTGCTGAGGACGTGAATGACCTGCCTAGGTCCCCTATGCTCCATACAATTAATCCAGGTGCCCTGGCTGAATGATAAACAGCAGCAGAGCGGCAGGCTGGTGATTATGACAGCCACTGCACAGTGAGACGCCACTAAATGCATTAGCTCTGTGCCAAACACAGGGCCTCTGCAGGAAATGGGCCTGTTTTGGAGAAGATTTCACATTACTGCAAAAAAGGATAGAAAGAAAGACATTTGCTTTATGGTGTTATGTACATCTGTTGTCTCTAGCTCAGGGCTTTGTTGTGCTTACATTAAAACATGGCACAGAAAAAGCTTAGTGAGGTTAAAGCTGAATGCAGCAAGCCGTACATGTCTTTGTTACAGGCAGACACACATTGTTAAATGCACACACACTGTCTAGTGTCCCTGAGCAAGGCAGCCCGCCCACAGCCCACAGTGTAGTCACAGGATGTGGCCGGGGTATCTAGCGTCAAAATCAGCCCAAGTTTTTAACTGTAAACTTATTCAAAGAAGCAACCAAACGATGAAAAACATTGTTATTAAGGGCATGTTCACACTCAATTTGGTCCTGGTTTGAGCTGTTTTTTTTTTGTTTTGTTTTGTTTTGTGAATCACTGATATTGGCCATATGATTAAGAGTAGAATTTAGGTATGATTTAGATTTTAATCATTAAGAAAACATAAGTTATGTTTTGGTAACATTAGTTGCTCACATAGCAGACTCCTGCCCCTGGACCATAGACTGTATAAAGACATGGACTAAGCGAGTGCCATGTTACTCGTAGCATTCGGCTCCGCTTAAATGAAGCTTGTGATGCTAGCAGTTACAGGGACAAATTTGAAGCCAGGCTCTACATTATGAATAGGATTTATTTAATGGGCAAGGTAGCGAGAAATAAAGAGGATCATGTAGAATGAGTTAATACGAACATTTTATGACCAAACTGACGAGGCTCACTACAGCAGTTACAGAGAGGGGTGACAATATTCCAATGTAAGTCAATGGGCACCAGGAGGAGTAACAGCCGGAAGAGTCTGCATGCAATCTTCCTATTTGAAATGTAGTGGCTAGTGCATTAGCTATGTCCATTTATACATACAGTCTATGCCCTGGACCCAGAACTGCACCAAAGAAAATTAGGCTTTATAGTCCTGGTTTAGTGTAGCCTCAGTCCTGGACTAATTCAAGTTTACTTACTTGTTTAGTCCTATTTAGTTCCAGTTTTGATGTGGTCTATGTGCAAGTGTGAACACACCCTAAGAAGATTTATAAAGAAGAGTAGCTCAGCTCTAAAATCAAATCTTTACTGTCTCCATGGGGACATCCATATCCTTGATCGCTATCAAGTCCCAAAAGCCCCCTTTCCCCATTTGTTAACACTGGTCAAAGTGAGTGAGTTACTCTTTTACAGTCAGAATTTAAATATAAATGCACACTGTTGTTGGAAAATACATTTCCACAACTTGAAATGCACTGAGAATTCCTTTAACTTAAAAACAATGAAAAGGAAAAGGTTCCCAAGACATAGTGGTAAGTAGAGAGCCACTACTACTCTCAAATTTAAAGCCATTAACACTTGGAGGAAGAACTGGTTAAAATATTGATACTCTCACTATAAATGTTTGCAAATAAAAATCATTATATCATAACAAAACTGACTGTGTTTTTAACTTATATTTGATAGTAATTGTAAGATTTGTAGGACTTCAGAAAACAGCAGGAGTTGAATCTATCCTCCAAATATCTCCCTTATAATCCCCATGCAGGCCGTCACAGAGAGCAGACAGTGGACATAGAGGGACACGGCGCAGACATAGACTGGACATATGGACTGACCCTTGGTGTAGATGGCAGGCGTCCACACAGGTGCGACCCCGGCTGAAGTATCGACAGGTGAGGCACTGGTCTGGACCTGGGCCCCAGCACCCAGCATCTGAGCACAGAGGGTCACACACCATACCCTCCCGAGCTGCAAATCACAGAGGGAGATTAGCAAACAGCATTGTGATATTCACGAATGTGGTCACTGGATACACCATTACAGGATTTTTTTTGTAATCTTATGATTATGAAGTGTGGCCACAGGAAGAGCATTAACTCAAGATCTAAATTATTTTACTATATTTGCTATTAAATTCATATTAGCACTCAAGTTATAATTTGTTTGTATATTTGTTTACTTATTCGCAATTCCCAAAATGTCAACTATATATATATATATATATATATATATATATATATATATATATGCATAAATATAGGCAAGGTTACAGGACTGTACTGCATTTGTGTTTGAATTAATTCAGTAGTAAAATTCCTAGTTCCTAATTCCTAGTTTGTGAATTTTGTTCAGTTATAATGCCAAATCTGATCTTCCAGTGAGCTCAATCACAGAGACGTATTGTGAGCAAAAATACAAAACATTTCTCCTTGCAGATGCGTAAACAGATTTGTTACATGAGCCTGTTTCTAGTGCTCTTTCATCTTTCATTCAGATCAGTTTGTGAGCAAATTCTTGTTATGTGTCACTGGTGAGACAAAACATATTTTGGCTAATGTACAAACATGTGCCATTACCAATGCCACAACTCCCAAAATTTCTAGTTGTGGAAAGTTTAAATGATATACAAAGCATCTTCACTATCACACATTACTAGCCAGGCTGGCGCCACCTAGTGCCTGAGCTCAATTCCATTTCTCTCCAGCGCCTAGGGCAGGAATCGGAATTCACTAGACGATTTGCAAGAACCCTGGAAGTTGTAGGCCGCGCACCCGGCCAACCAGCGAAGAGCTGTGAAGCCATGACTGGGTCCATTTTGTTGTACAGCACAACAGTAAACAAAGTGGTCGAGATGGATGTGGCTGAAGACAGACATTCTGTGTTGGCAATGATTCCTGAGATCGAGGATTTAAAGCCAGAACAAAGAGAATGTTTGATAAATTCTATCAAGGGGAAAGACATTATTGCGCTTCTTCCTACAGGATTTGGGAAAATCTTAATATAGTTAGCCCCGTTAGCGGTGCATTATACATCATGACCAAATAGCAGCGATTGGTTAAATTAAAAAAGTACCCACCTTCCGTCGAGCAAATGAGTCCTAAAGCTGTGAGGTCAGACGGTTTCCATGAAGTGAAACCGGCTGAATCAAGTTAACACATTACTACATCTCATTATGATACTAATACTATTGCTACTCATGGGTTTCAAGTTCTTGTTTACTGTACAAGCAACATTTTCAGTATGTGTGACCATATAAAAGATATTATGTTTTGAATAGTTAATTGCTATGGCAATGGTGTTAATTTTTCATTAGTCCGAACCTCATAGATAAACAGAACTACCAACATTAATAACCGTGTCTAAAAAAGCTACAAAACTTCAGTATTATAGTTTGTCTTTTTCCATTTATTAATTATGATCAGAGCTCAATCTTCCACTCAATCATTGTGTCTTTAGATCTCTCTTTTGTCTTCTTTTTCTAAAAACAGTGCAAGGACTACTGCCATAGCCAAATGTGCAGAGTATTTGATTCCTCCCTTGTTGAAACACTCTATTATAAATCCATTCTCCTCTGCTCTTTTCTTTTTAAAATATGTGTGAGGAGTAGGCGCTGCCCTGCTATATTTTAAGCAGTGGCCAGATGTGAGCCAGGGGGTGTATCTCAATGTCAAAGGCACACGCATGTTGTGAATGCTAAAAGATTTTGACAGAAGGATGTGGGATCATGGAGCTGTGATCTGTAAAGGACATAGAATGAGAGCAGACAAAAGCATCAATGTTGGGGCTTCAACGTCAAAAGATTTAGTATAAAAAGATCTAGTATATGAAACACTTTATAATAACTAAAGTTGAATTTGATAATGACTCAGGCAGTGCAAAATGTCTAGCAGTGACCAGATTTTAAACATGAATATTTTCTATCTTAGAACTGAAGAATGATCAGTGAAATTAGAAACAGAAATAAAATAAGATGAACATGGAACGGGAAAAGATAAATACAAAAGTTAAATCAAATCGTATTCATGTGTTTTAGATTTCTGAATAGAATATTTTGTTTTGAATTGCTATGGCAACATTGCTAATTTCCATCTAAACATCCCTGGAACGAGACTGAATAGTGGTTAAAAAGCTCACTGTTTCACAAAGAAAATAACAAAGAATAGAAATAGACCAATACACTGTAATGTTGAAATTCCTATAATGATTTTCTGTGCCCTGGTGCAATATTTGAACTAGAATGAAGTCAGGCTGTTGCTTGGTCTGTTCAGTGAATTTGAAAAAGTTCTCCACACATGCTCTTTAAGTGTGGCCCGGCTCACAGCGGGACCAGTGGCGCCCCCTGGATACTGGTATTCAGCCACTGCTCAGTCTCCTCACTGAGTCCATAACAGCTCCACACATGACCTTTAACTCAGACTGTGTCCCTGTGCACTGTATTTACATTCAGAGCCACACACTGGAGGACGTTTCTTTTTAACTCTTATGCTCTTAATGTCTTTATTATTTCTTGTGACGTCTGTAAGGTTAGTAGAGTTAAGTGCAAAGTTTGAATGGGATGTGATGTTAACTAGCCTATGTGGTATTTTGAGATGACTCATTTTACTAAAGCACACTGAAGTTCTCTATATTTAAAATTTTGCTAACAATATGTTTTTTAACTTAATTTTTTTACTTCCTGGTTGGAGATCATTAGCCTGATTCATCAGCTGGTTTCACTTCGTAAAAACTGTTTGACCTCGCAGCGTTAGAATTCGTTCATTCAATGGTTAGGAGGGTACTTTTTTCATTTAACCAATTGCTGCTACTTGGTCATGTCATATGTAATGCGCCGCTTTTGGGGCTAACTGGTATATTAAGCTTTTCCCAAATCCTGTAGGAAGAAGGGCAATAACGTCTTTCCCCTTGATAAAATTCACCAAACTTTTTCTTTGTTCCAGCTTTAAATCCTCGATCTCGGGAATCGTTGCCAACACAGAATGTATGGCTCTTCGCTGATTGGCTGGTGCTCGAAATTCCAGGGTTTCTGCAAACCGTCTAGTGTATTCGATTCCTGACCTAGTCGCTGGAGAGAAATTAAATTGAGCGGAGGCACTAGGTGGCGCCAGCCTGGGTAGGAGATCATGACATCACACTAGGGAATACCATAACTATTACCTAGCAACCCTGGGCAAAAATTTCTCTAATCTAATGTACACAGAAATTATCATCTGACAAATAAAAATATAAGAAAACATCTTTGTTTTGCTGAAATCATGTTCAGAGTGTCAGAGAAATGTCATTCTTAGGTCTAAATTGTGTCTGATTTTTTAACAGAAAAGTCTCCCTAGTGTGATCTCTTTAAAATTGAACTCTACTTCCTGTAATTTTCCAAATTTTTTTCACTTTCTTCACAAATTACTTCTTGACTGATGTAAAACTATAATTTATATTTATTGTACAACAGGTTTTATCCCACCAAATTAAGTTAAAATTAGAGTATCATAAAACCCACCATACACACTTTAATACAGCTACACACATTATTATTGTGAGAAGAGGAGTTTTGTATCCCAGATGAAAGAGCATTCAAATAATAATTTCATTCATGTTACTCTCTACAAGCTCCATTAGCATCATTCATTCAATCTACAAACCTGGCGATAGTAAGCTTTATACTTCTGAAATCACACCTGCCCCGGGGTTGGCTTACACAGATATGGCTGCTTCTTATAGACCGCAGTCATATATAGACAAGTTACAAGGGTGAAGTGTCTTGCCCAAGAGCACAATGGTTATACACTGGTCTACTGACAAACCAAACCCTGAACAATGAATATGAGGATGCAAACGATTTCTTTATTTAGTGTGTTTCTTTGCTCACTGATATAGTTTTCATATTCTTAAAAAAAAAAAATAATAATAATAAATAATAATAATAATCTTAGAATGTTAGCTGAGTAGATATGGAGCATCATTTTTTCTATGATGTAATACTACCCTGAGATTCTATTAATACAGCCATCTGTGTTTTTACAAGGAGATATGTTGTTGTTGTTTTTTTTTTGATATTTCACACTTTTTCCCTCAGATGGTTATTTTGTCCAATCATCTTCAAACATCTGCTCCTGTGGTAGTGAATCTACACATGATCCCATCTGTACATTCACAGCAGCTGGCTCTGTCTGTCTATTAGAGAGATGACAAGGCCTGTGATGACTTCTCAAATGTGTGAATTATTTACTACAGCATACATCACATTCTTTGTCTCGTAAATGGGACACTTAATCACAAGCAGAGGAGTAATTACGGTAATACATCGCTTTGAAAAAAATTAAGTTGGGAGTCTTGTGAGTTTTGAGTCGACAGTCTTTTCTGATCTTACAAAACTAAGCATGATTGGACACGGTTACTTGTCTGGGAGTATGCTGAGTGGCTGTAGTGCGAACTGTTGTTGATCTTTGGGTGTGTGTGTGTGTGTTGATGGTGAGTAAATAGCAGATGGTACAGATTGGCAGCCTCGCTTCAGTCAGTCTACCCCAGGGCAGGTCTGACTACTAGCTGCTTAGTTACCACCGGATAGCATGAATGAATAATGCAATGTAAAGCATATTTGAGTGTTCAGTGTCCACAGTGTCCAGAGCATTACATTAATCAAAAGCCTTAAATCTAAACAATTAAAATTAAAAATGTAGCATTGACCAGATCCAGCTTCTGTTAACTTGGCCCTTTGAATTCTCCATTGTGAATACTGTGAATCCCTCCCACTGAGGAGAAAGGCAAGTTATGACTTTTCTTTCTCATTAAGAAAGATTGACAGTAGAGAAACAGAGGAATTAAGAACAGAACTGAATAGAAATGTTACAAGTAGTTGTCTTTTAACACAATACAAATTCAAGTTTAAAAGTGTAGTGTGTGTCAAGAATAAGACAACTATTTTTGCCTTCCATACTTCTTGTACATTTGTTTATATCTGATGTAAAATACCAAAAATAGTTGTGTAACTAATCAGACCATTATTTGGATTACTATTGGTGTGTGTAGTAGTTCGCTACAGAAGAGATTTGGTATTGCCATGTTTCACAGTGCACCATATGCAGCTAAAGAACTTTATTCTGCACTCTCTTCTAATGTTTGTTTTATGGTTTGTTTGTATAGGGACTTTAAAGTCTTTCCTATTCTGTAAAGCACTTCGAATCGCTTTGTGTATGAATTGTAATAGCTACTCATGGGTTAGCTACTCATCCTGGTAGATGGCGGTAGATGGTACCATTTTGAGGATAGTTTACATAATATTGAGTTTTAATCTGTCTTTACTTTTCATCACTCTGAAACCCATGGATATGATTTGACTATGAACAGCACAACATTATAGGTAGTGGTAGTAACACTAGTGCACAAGCAGAATAATTTATATTTACAACAGGTTTTATCCCACCAAATTAAGTTAAAATTAGATAATCATAAAAACCATCATCATACGCTCTTTAATACACCTACACACACACACATTATTACAGTGAGATGAAGAGTTTTGTATCCCAATGAAAGAGCATTCAAATAATAATTTGACTCATGTTACTCTCTACAAGCTCCATTAGCACCATTCATTCAATCTACAAACCTGGTTGTAGTAAACATTATACTTCTGAAATCACACCTGCCCCGGGGTTGGCTTACACAGATATGACTGCCTCTTATAAATGGCATTCATATATAGACCAGTTACAAGAGTGAAGTGTCTTGTCCAAGAGCACATTGGTTATACACTGGTCTGACAAATCAAACCCTGAATAATGAATATGAGAATGCAAACAATTTCTTTATTTAGTATAGGCAGTGGTAGTAACACTTGTGCACAAGCAGACATATACAACTACTGTATGTAGTACTACTAAACACTACATGTATTTATATTGTTTCACTCACAGCATTCTTTGGGACTGCGGTTGCTACGGATCTGGACCTTCTGGTTCTCCGTCCTGAGCAGTTGGGTCCAGTTGAGGGTGTTGTGGTAGCACAGTTGGCTGTTCTCAGCGATGTGGATGTTCCCAGCACTGACCTCCTTCAGAGATTGGAACTGCAGAGATGAGATGAACTGCTGCTTCAAAATCAGCAGAGAGATGCCACTGAAAAGAGAAGAGATGGAGAAACAATAATAATATGACCAAAAATGAAAGAACTGGTGTGTAATATAATGTGGACTAAGTTTGGGTAGGAGTATCTAGCTGGAAAATAAGCCTATTTCCCATGTTTAGGTTCAAATAACTAATTGTTCCAATCATTTGTAGTAGAGGCTATAAGGGGTTGAAAACAACTAAAAGCAACTGTGAGGCCTTATGTGAGAGATTCTTTCAATGCATTTTATTTAGGGTAGTCCCGATCCAATGACTGCAGATGATCCGGTTCGGACTCAGACGTTTTGTTCTGATCAGGTATCGGATAAATAATATACGTCTCTCACACACAGCGCACACAGGACACACAGCACACACAGCACACAACAGTTTTTTTTTTGTGTGTGTTTTTTTTAACTGAGGCATGGGACTTGCTCAGGGATGTCCAGTTAGAGCGACTATCTGCCCCAACGCCTGCTGTACTAGAGGCACACTTGCGCTGGGACTTTTGGGCCGTGCTGTGCTCAGGCACTGTTGCCTGTGGTTCTGTGGCCCGTGTTCACACCTGCCACGGTACTGTAAGAATAAAGTTCCAGAAAAGTACGGTGAATCACTTAGACATTATAAATATAACAGTTATTAACGTGTGCCCCCAGAGGTACACAGAATGACCTATGGGGGTACACAAAGAGTATTATAAAACATAAGTAACATCTCATTTTTATTTGTTAAGATCTTATATTATTTGGAGATCTTAGATTAGCCTAAATGTTTCAAATATAATGCACAGGCTTCCATATAATATCAAAAATAGAAACTCTAGATTGTGCAGAATCTAGTCTCAGGGTCTGATCAGATTCTGGTCTGGTTCCTGTTTTGTCCAGTTCATTAAGTATACCAAGTTACACATTCCAAGACCAGACTGTGAAAAGTCAAGATTTTCAACTGGAGGTGCATGGTTAGAAAAGTTAATAAAATTAAAGTTTTGGACATTTGATTTTTCAAACTAAGTTCAGCCCAAATACTACACATGAAATCAACACAATCCTATCCCCCACACATCCCGGATTTTATTCTTTGCTCTTAGTTCATTTCATAATGTTTAATACATGTATCGGATCGGGACTTGGTATTGGCAGATACTCAAAATCAAATGACTCGGAGGCAAAAAAATGTGATCGGGACATCCTTAGTTAGCATCACATCTCCACTGAATGTATCAATACTATGAATATATAAACTTTGTATAGTAATGCAGATCAACTAAACAGCTAACTTCTCCTCTACATGTCTCATTATGTTCAATTTATTTCAGAAGAGCCCACACTACTGCCATGTGTACAAAGCATTTCCAGAGCTTTCCTGTGTTTTGGCTGCGTTCCCCCGTCCAGCAGGCAGCCTCATTCACCTGCGCTCACTTCACATAGAGCTGGACAAAACCGCTGTGTGGCGGTGAGCTGCGTACCTGTACAGTTGTCTGCCTCCGATAGTGGCCAGGTTGGAGAACACACTGAAGTCTGTCATGTTGTCAGGCCAGGACTGGATGTTCAAATACCCTAAACGGAAACAAGACAGAAACGTAAACACATCCTAATGAATCAGCAGCAGTCTAGTCATCCGTCAGTCTGCTGCACCGCTCTTACACACTCAGCACTCAAATAACACGACGAGAGAGAGAAAGAAAGAGGGAAGAAGAGAGGGAAGAAGGAAGAAGAGAGCTGGAGAGAAGAAGACAGAAAGAGAGAGAGAGAGGGAGAGAGAGAGAGAGACAGAGGGGGAGAGAGAGATAGAGAGAAAGAGGCAGAAAGAGACGGCGGAAGAGAGAGATAGAGGGAGAGAGACAGAAAGGGACAGAGGGAGAGAGAGATAGAGGGAGAGAGAGAGAAACAGTGGAGAGAGATAGAGGGAGAGAGAGAAAGAGACAGAAAGACAGGGGGAGAGAGAGATAGAGGGATAGAGACAGAAAGAGAGAGAGGGGGAGAGGCAGAGGAAGAGAGAGAGAGAGACAGGGGAGCGAGACAGAAAGAGAGGGAGGGTGAGAGAGATAGAGGGCGGGAGAGAGAGAAAGGGAGAGAGGGGGAGGCAAAAAAGACAGCAAGGAGAGAGAGAGAGAGAGAGGAAGAAAGAGAGACCAAAAGAGAGAGAGGGAGAGAGAGAGAAAGAGACAGGGGAGAGAGAGAGAGATAGAGGGAGAGAGACAGAAAGAGAGAGAGGGAGAGATAGAGAGAGAGAGAGAGAAAGAGACAGGGGAGAGACAGATAGAGGGAGAGAGACCGAAAGAGAGAGACGGGGAGGGGATGAGACGAAGAGAGAATAGCAAGGAAAGAGAGAGAAAGTGAGCGTAAGAGACAGACAGAGAAGAGAGATAAGAAAATATGAGGGGGTATGACGAGAGACAGGAAGAGAGAAAAAGAGAGCGAAAGGTTGGGAGAGAGAGATGAGAGCGAAGGTGCAACAGAAAAGACGGAAAGAGAGGAGAGCGACAGAGAGAGCTTTTGGAATCCAGTGCATTCCAAATACCTAAAGGACAGCACCTGGGGCTCATTTTAAGACTGCCAAGGTTTTCACCGCCAGGAAACAGTCCCTGAACTCAAGTAGCCTCATAGAAAGTTCAGACCACATTCAGACTGAATTTACAACAATGAATTTTTTTGTTTAATCTAAATGAATGCTCAAATGTTACACAGGGATTGGATACGTGTCCTTGTTCCATTATGAATTGTTTTTGTCCAGCCTTAAAAGTTCAAACATTTTCATCCCAGCCAAGTCTTATTGATTAAAGCATTTCAAATAAATCAAATAAAGTTCAAATTATAATATTGTATTGTACAATTTGTAGGTCCCCAAAGTATATATTACGTTTTTCCTGTGCATCTTCAATTAACTAAAATGACAAAATAACTACTAGTAGGAACAAAAACAATCAAACTAGTTTCAAAATAAAACTAAATCAGAGAGATTCATTAAAGGTGCATTGTGTAACTATTCTGGTGCAGGGTCCATCAAATGCTTTTCTCTATGGAAATGCCATTGCTTTGTGTGGAAGGAGACCAAAACTGACCAAGTTACAGGTCAGATCTGTGGAGAAGCAACCCCGCACACAGTCACAATGTCTGTTATTTTTGAGCTATAAAACCACATAGAATTTAATAAATGTAAAGTAGAGCTGTTTAATGACATACTCTGGAACAATTCAGACACAGCAATGACATATCTATGAAGGAAAGCATTTGGCAGACTAGAAAAGTTATATAATGCATCTTTAAAAGACTATCTCCATAATAAGCAGGTACTAACTGGGATACTCATAAACGTTTGGAAAGCACTGGTATAGAGCATTCAGTCCAGTTTATAAATTCATATGTCCTTTATATAGACCTTAAATGATTCAGAAGTCTAAATGGAGATCTGTGAAGGTAGATGGGCCGCAATTTTAATAATGAATTCAGAATTATGAAATATTTACAAGTGTGAGGGTAGGGGGTCCACTCCTCCAGCCAACCTTATAGGATAAACAAATTGAGTCCTTGGCAAAAGGCACAGTGGGGTGGAAGACTGGAGGTGAAAAGATGAATAAAGGAAGAGGTGCATAATGAAAGGAGAGGAAGAACAGAACGTCACAAATGACCTTAGCATGAAAAAACAAACAGCTGCTGCACTCACATCCCACTACAGTGAGAAGCAGAATGTGGGTACATCTGCACAGCCAGTAAAATCAGAACAAGAATTAAACTAGAATAATCAGATAACTAGATCTGCTGTGTGTTTATATGCATGTAAAGGTTTTATACTGCACAAAATTGAGTCTTGTGAGCTCTATGCCATGTTATAAATGTGTTACCTCCTCAAAAACATACCTGGAGTTGTGTTTTGTTTCATTCTCACATGTTTGAGAAATCCTTTATTATTAGTCTGTCTATATCTCCAAAGCTTAAAATGTTCTGTTCTACCTTGGATGTCATGAAGTGATAGTTTTCAAGTTAAGAGATATATTTATCTTTAGCTCAGTAGACATGGCAATTCCAAGCAATTCCATTTTTTGTTAGTTTTAAGATTTCATTTCCATGTCAAAAGCTACACAAGTGTGAAGAACCAGACAGAAATCAGATTACTCCCATAAGATGAATATAATAAGAACATGTCAATAATAACAGAAATGATATAATGTTTGGTATGCATGTGAACAGAGTCAGTGAAAAGTATTTGAGTCAGTGGGGTATGGTATGTCTATTATTAATGGCCCTTAGTGTGCATTTAACAGAATTGTAGGACCATTATGAGAGCAATATTAAGCAATATACAGGAAGCAATATACAGCTCTCACTGTGTGTTTGGTTTGTCTGAATGTTTGGCCATGGTGTCAATAATTATGACTAATAAATAGGAAAAGTGCAGGAAAAGTGCAATTACAACAGGCCTAACTGATAGTTAAGTGTGTGTTTTATTTTCATCAGTCTATATGCTCCACGTCTGTTCCATTATAACACAGAGCTAGCAGCACGTATATTGGCTGCATCTGCCAAGACAGGAGCACATTCCCCCATTCTCTCCTAACAAGTACAGAACAAGGGAACCTCTCCAAAAACTTTTTCAATCCCACCTCTGCCTCCATGGAAACATCTTAACACAAGAAGAAAGCTCAGACACAAAATGTCTGCTGCTAGTTTATTGCAATGCCATTTTGCAGCCCAATTCAGTTCATTAAATATTGCACATTTAAGCAAAGTGAAAGAAGTTGCTTTACACAACCAGACATTGCTTCACCTTTTATTGAAAATTTCAACGTGTGTGTGTTTCAAAGTTTATTAAGGATGATTCAGGATTATATAGCTATAATATACAAAACCGGTGGATCATAAAATTTTAATTTGCACGTTTTTAAAAGTAACATTTATGTAAGGCGACTTCAAAATTCCTCACGATGCTGCCAAATCCTACATATATCACCATTTAAGGGCATATATAGGCATATGCCAATTTCAGTGGAAATGGGGATTGATCATAAATATGGTGTCTTGAAAATTAGCGATTCCCCAAAACATGCACAAATCACTCCATCCAAATTCAAGAGGGTAAATGAGAAAGGGTATCATCTCATTTTAAAGTGTTACCAAACTGTGTTCTAATATTTATTTCAAGTAATTCTGCTGGCATTACATTTTAGTTTATCTATGCAAAATGGAGGTGAATTCATACAGGGTCAAAAGCCAGTACACTATATTCTCTCAGTGCAGTTTTGGTCAGCAGGGGTCATCTTCTTTCGCCTTTTATCAGTCAAAAACATGGTACAGATCACTGAACCCTCTCATCACAGTGTACACTAGTGGCACACACACACATGTACACACACACACGCACACACACACACACAGTAGATTACATGGAGCCACTTAACTTAACGGAAAGGCCATGTGCTCTAAGCAAAGGTTAAGAGAGGTTTAGCAGTGGTTATTATATTCACAACACTGTGTCATCTCCACTGCTATACTGCATTAGCTTCTTGCCTACTGAAACATGTAACCTAACCTTTGTTAAAAATAAGGGGAAAGAGCAGGAGAAATTAGAAGAATAATAGATTGTACAGTCTGGTGGTGTTGCTGAGGAGAGGGATCTCATTTAAAAACAGGAGCGATGGGAGCTGTGACCTCTGGGTCACACACGCAGGTTCCACTGACAGCTCCCAGAGATGACAAGCGGAGCTGACACATATGTCTAACTCCACACTGTGGCCATGGTTTGTCTCCTTCTCACCAAAAGCTTTTGGTGGTTTTCAGATTCTTGAATGTGATTATGTCATAACACCAGATGGGGGCAAAAAAGAGATTTCCCTTTTTGATTGACATTGCACTTTGCCATGAAATATCCAAAAGGTTTTGAGTAAACCTGGTTTATTAGTCTGTCTTTATCTCCAAACCAAAAATTCCACCTTGTGTTGTAGTTAGTGATATTTTTCATGTTAACAGCTACCTTTTACCTTTTGTTCAGTAGACTGGCAATTCTGAAATTATCCAAATGATCCTAGCGTTTTGTGTTTGAGAGAAGGACTCCTAAATATTCAGGGTTTGTGTGTTAAACTTGTATGAATGAAAGAAAACAAAACTCCAGGTATGTTTATTGATGAGGACATAACATTAAAACATATCAGAAAAAAGCGTACTATAGGCCCTTTAAAACATGATCATATATGGAAAAGCTGTTCTAAAGTTGTTATTTATCTTTCAAGTAGAACACTCTTGCATAGAGTAAATAAAGGTTCAGATGTTGAGACTTTCACAGCCTGTCTGATCGCATGAAATTATAGGTCTGCCTTGGAAACCAAAATTTAGACTAAAGTTGATCAATCCTACTATTAGCACTGGAGCAGCCTTGATGTTAACCCGTTCTACCAGGAGGCTCACTGTCTCATAAGAAATTTAATTCGACTGTAATTCCAAAATGTCACAAACAATTCCTCAACCTTAATCTGAGTGATTTCTTGAGGGATTGTCACATTGCAGAGAGCAGGTTTCTCTGTCTACAGTCTGGTCTATAAGAACAACAGCACACCAGCTCAGTATGGTTTATATACTGTGTGTGCGTGTGTGTGTGTGTGTGTGTGCGTTTGTGCGTGTGCGCGTGTGTTTGAGGATGGTTTTGGGATTAATGATGCGATCCACATGTTCAGGAGCCTTCTTCATGGGGCGTGAAGGGAGAGCTGGGACATGGAGACTGAAGGATAGGGACTCCCCATGGGAGAGCCAGCAAAGAGACACTGAAAAGACTCATACGGAATTCATCTTCTGTTTCTGTCCTTGGAGTGGAGGTCTCAAAGGAAAGAGGTGAAGATGACATGGCCCAAAACACACAGTGAAGCACACACAATGGAAAGACTGTCTATAATGACGATAGCCACAATATGTAGTTATTTATTTATGTGTTTGTATGGAGGGGGTACAGCTGCTTTACCTGTGATCTCCCGAACAGTGCGAAACACATTGAGTTTTTCTGGGTCCAACGCGTCAATGTTGTGATATACGTCCCTGTGGATAGTAACATGAATCTGTTAGTCATGCAACTTTAAAGGTAAGATTTGAGAACATGCATTTTTCAATTTTTAGAACTACATAAGAAATTGTCTCTGTTTAGAAGATTTCAAGCAAAATGGGGGATTTTAGAGGTATACTGTACACCAGAAAAGTTACAAAGTGCACTTTTCATGTACTCAAACATAAAATACTCAAGTCTTTAATCCATTACTAGAGTCGTTTCCCTGCCTTTTAATTTGACTCATTTAAGAGTTTGCATTGTACAGTTGTAGTTAAACATTTATTACACAATATACACGGAAAATCTTACGTCAAATGGATGTTCTACGAAAACTATTGCACTGATTTACATACAGCTTCAGGGATATGCAGGACAACAAAAACATTTATTACATTTTAGAGCAGATGTTGGATTTTAATGACTTAACTTTGCCGGATGTGTTTCCCCCAGGATAATTATGGTTACCATAGTAATAGACACAAAACCCACAGACCATTGCTAAGTGTTTTAAAAGACAATACTGCAGAAAATAAGAGCATTTGACCTTGACCTCTTAAAGCTCTGTTTTATTTGGAAGCACACAGACCTTTAAAATTACTAGGACATTGTTTTTATCTCTGGAGCACTGCTCTTATTTTCAGGCATTGAACTGACACAAATAAGCTGATTGTGATCATGTGACAACTTTAAAATGGTAATACTTTCCATGAAAAGATTTCTGAACTTTTTTAGTTATATGGTTAACCTCATGCGTATCCTGAAATTCCACCTTGTCCCATTATAAATTAAGAGAATTTCTTGAGTCATGCAGAGTTGAAATTCATTTTGTCATTACTTCCAGTTGCATCATATTCAAATCTCAACGCTCTCGTCTCTTACCCTTTGATTCCCGTAATGAGGAAGACCAGGTTCCCATTTATTTTGGTACAGTTCACAAAACTGTCGATGTTGTTGGAATCCACAGTCTGAGCTTCGTGGAGGCTGGCTGTACCTATGCCATCACATGCTGCGAAAAAACAACACGGGTTATGCCATAGTCACGTCAAGTCAAATCTCTATGTGTTCTATGTTATACCTTTAGGACAAATATCGGAACAGGGGATACACATCTTAATGCGTTTTTCCTCCACTTCCATCTTGTTACTGGGACATGCTCTGACACATGAGCTATGATCTACCACAAAGTTATCTGCAAACAAGGTCATAGGCAATAAACAGAACATAGTATACATATAATGGCATAGTTTGTAAAAGCACAGTGCAGTCAAAGTTGGTAAGGAATGTACTGTGAAGAAGAAACGTTCATTATAATAGTATTAGCTATGTGAAATATACAGTGGTGGATGAACTACTCCATTTTGTTACTGAAGTAAAAGTGCAGACACAGGGGCAAAAGATGACTCAAGTAAAAATCTGCTCAAGTAAAACTATTGAAGCATCTGTTTAAAAATGTACTGTAAGAGTAAAAAGTATAAGTATTTAAAAGATTTGTTAGTTATTTAGATTTTTTAGTGATTCCATTGATATCTTAAATTTTCTAGCTGTTTTTGTGTTTTTGTGTATTTGGTTTGCTCGAATGCACGGCTTAGTGAAACAAATTTCACACAAAGAGAAAAGAAAGCAGTGGCAGAAATAAAAGAAAAAGATACTGAGAGTACAGCACAGTAACTGCCTTTTAAACATCAACAGAATTGCCCATCATAATGAATTTCTTCTCAAATATTCTCTAAAGAACAGTGATAACGGTTAGTCAATCATTCTCAGCTAATTTAATGTTTATTTTCAAAGCTAACATATTAAAAGTAGTCTGTAGTATGTCTAGTAGAATTCTCCTGTTTGTGTGTTGGGGCTTACGTGGACACTTCTTGACGCAGAAGGCTCCGTAGGTGTACTTGGCACCAGGGTTGTGGTCCAGTTGGAATGAGGTCAGGTTGTAAATGAAGGGCTGTGGGCACTGAGTCACACACGCACCGCTGTCATTGAAGTTTGTGCAGGCCTAACGCAGGACACATAGTATTTTTACTACACTTTACTCAGTCTGAAAGGGTGTTTCTGTTATACATTATTTGTTCATTCATTTAAAAATAGTTGTCTTAAAAAAGTTTTCCATTCAGCTTACATTTCTTCTTTCATATTTGCCTTCCAAGTAGCAACATAATGATGACTTTGACTAAATTTTGTTCTGTTTTTCCAGACAGAGTTCACATGCATAGACTATATATAAACGGACATGGCTAACTCGCTGGCCGCCACATTCTGAACAGGAAGTGTTCATGGGGGTGTTTCTGGCTCCATAAGCTCAGTTTCCTATTGACTTCACATTGAAAAAATTGTCACCCCTCTTTCTGTGGGGAGCTTCGTCATTTTGGTCTTAAAATGTTCGCATTAACCTGCTCTACATGATTGTGGTGTTTTTATTTATCTATTTTCTCAGTGAATAAATCCCAAATTTGCCCCTATAACCACCGGACTCGTGAGCTTCATTTGACTGGAGCCGAACACTGTCGTTCACACCCCCTTAGTCCACTTCTTTATACAGTCTATGTTCACATGCTAGTCTCCGTGCATGTGCATCCACTCACAAAGCAGTCCGTGTCCTTGGGCCCGTAGCAGCCCCCAGCACACTCGCGGTGGCAGCAGTCGCTCACATAGGGCCCAAAGCAGCGGCCATCACACTGCTCCGCACACACCGTCTTTGTCACTGTGGAGAGAGACAGGAAGAGAAAGAAAGGAGAGGAAGAGAAGAGAGAGACAGGAGGGAGGAAGAGAGAGGAAGAGAAGAGAGAGAATGAGAAAGAAAAAGAAAGCGAGAGTGAGTGTTCTTGATTGTTGCAACACACCCTGGCAAAGGTAATTGTACTTGAGTATTAAAGTAATTTTACAAAATACCCTCTATGAGTAGGTATAAATAAATTACAAAAACATGGTATTTACAGGAGATTTGCACATTTTATATTACTCTCTGTCCGAAACAACAACTCAGATGATATTTTTACCCTTCCTTCACTTGTTGCTTCTTTCGCTACAATTTACCCCATTTTTATACATTACATGGACTTGACTATTGGCTAGGTTATCTATAGTCACAGCATATATTTAAACCCAAAAATAGTCTGGCATAAGAGCAATATAAGAAGAATTTGAGCAGAAACCATGGCAACTTAATGGGTGCAAGCTTTTAAATCATGAGAGATGAGCTCATTAAATTCAATTAGTCTGTTAATGGACATGTTCTCACAACAGAATTTTGTGGGGAAAAATTCACCCTTTTAGTAATGCAGTAAAATGAAATGCATTTAGTAAAACGTGTGGACCAGTTGTAGTTTTGGAAGGGCTAAATAGATTCAGATTCGGAGAACTTTATTGATCCCAGAGGGCAATTCATTTGCAACATTCTCAGAGCAGTTTTCACTTCTCACATACACACACAAACACACACAGTCCGTCAGTCCGTTACAGTTCACAAGCAGAACTCAATAGAACAATTTACATATTAGAGTGCAAAACCTCAAAAAACACACCCTCAGGATTAAGCAATTTAATAGCAGAGGGCACAAAAGAATTTGAGAAGTGGTTTGTCTTTAGTACCAATGTCCTGAAGGAGTCAGAGGATGGAGGGGCTAAGCCAGGAGACACTTTACTTTGCTCAGTACTTGCTCCTCCCACAGAGAATGTAGCTCCCTCAGTTTGACACCTGTGATTTTTGAGCAAGTTTTTATAATGTTATGCAGTTTGCTTTTATCCTTTAAGGACAGGGATTGAAACCAGCAAATGAAAGAAAAAGTAAGCAGAGTTTCAATAAAAGTTGTTGAGAATTGTTTTATTTACATTAAAATAGTTCAGTTTTCTCAACAGGTACATTCTTTGAGAAAACTTAACTTTAAAATCAGTCTGTTAAAGGTGAATTGCGCACTGGTGGAGGGTCTGCCAAATTATTTTCTCTGTGGAGATGTTATTGCTTTGTCTGGAATGTTTCACAGTATGATATTAAACATTTTTATCTTCATAGAGACCAACCAGACCAATCCCGCTCCCAGTCAGAATGCCAGTTTTTCTAGGTATTTTTAAGCAATAAACCCATATGTAATCAAATAAATGTAAAGCACTGCTGTTTAATGTCATACTGTGGAACAATCCTGGAAGATCAATGTCATATCCATAAAAAACATGGTTACCCTACACCAGAAAAGTTACACAATGCACCTTTAAATTGTAATTATATTTTGACAGTACTTTTTTCTAAATATTGTCCTTCATACTTTTTTAAATTTTCTATAGGTCGCTCAATGCACAAGCTGAAATGATGAACAAAAACTGGTTTGAATGTTTTTCAGTCTCAGAAGCCACACCCATGCATCAGAGAGTGCTTGGCGTTGGGAGCGATCTGTTCTGCTCTGGTTGTAATCAGCCTCATGCTCCTGTGATTTGCTGTACATGTGAGTCCAGTGTGTTCCTGCTCGTCTGGAGGAGGACCATATGTCTCTGTGTGAGACGCTCCTCAGACATATGTAAGACCACGTCACGTTAGCAGGTGGGCAGAGGGCAGCTATGGATAATCCAGAGCAGAATAGGTGGGATTATTCATTCAAATTAAGAATAAATATAAATAATATAATATAAATACATAAAGGTGCTCTATTTAAATGATCTGGAGGTATGTCTGTTATTGTGTCTAAACTGATATGTTTGCTTTGCCTCTAGGGTTCCCCTGTATGGCAATACACTTTTCTGTCTCCATAGAAACAAGTTGCACATGTGACCTGTGGAGTACGGACCCCGTTCAATGATGCATTATGTTTCATCAAAAAAAAGAAAACTGACATAATGGACATTTATTATTATATTATATAAATATCATCTTATTCCCAGTTGAGCTAGTTTTCTGTTTATGCATTCCTGAAATTAATCCCCTCTGCATACTATATCTTTTTCACCATTACTCAAACTTCCTAACTGCACCAGAGCCAGCTTGCTTTCATACGCCCTCTTTATGTCAAATTAACATGTTCAAAAACAAAACAATGACTGTTACATATTGTTTGGGGTTGCCAGTCAATGATTTGCCCTTTGAAGCACAGCAGTATCCGCATTACACATGCAAATGTTTGCAAATGTAAATGAGAATTTGTTCTCAAACATTGTATCTGGTATAAAAAAAAATTAAAATAAAAAAAATTGTAATCATAATAATAATCATAATAATAAAAAAAAAAACACACACACACACAGAATGAGCTTCATGCTAGGCTCTGCACATAACTAGTTTGAAGAAGCAAGACTACATGTTTAAATTATGTAGTGCTGTATTGTAGATCATGGACTTTCTGAAATATTTTGATAGCAACAGCGTTTTATGAACGAGGGACAACAGATGTCTTTAATCTAGCATGTTCACATTTCTGTAATTTATTGCATGCAGTACATAATCATTAACATGGGTTGTTTGATCCAATAAATCTATTGAAATACAAAAATAAGTGTATAATCAATTATTTGTAATTTGTGACATAATGTAACACAGCCAGAGTAAGGCACATATGAGGTCCCATTAGTTTTATTGTATACACTGTACATATATACACACTGTGTTCTTTTGCCTCTGGGCTCCACTGTGATGAGATACTATCACAATGATGGATGCCATGGAGCTACATTCAAACACACACGCACCAAATTTCTGCCTAACGTACCATCGCACTACCATTAAGCATGCGCCAGCCCGGTTCACTCAAAACACACTTTGTCAAATGGCCTTGTCGAGACACATGCAATACCTTTGATCAATTTGCCTTTAAATTTCCACTTTACCAATGAAATAAATAAAAGCAAACAGAACGGTGGAGGGGAACACAAAGGGAATATATCTGATAAACTATGCCCCCCGGCCTCTATTTGAACAGAGCATGGACAGACGCATCAGTCACAAGAGATACTGCACATAGATGATAATACTTTTTTTTTTTTACGTAGTTTTCAAATGAACTTGATATGAAATAAACATAGCTCTGGTGATCAAGATGGGGTATCCTGACCTTATTCTTGTAACTGTGTGGATTTAGATTTCTACCCCAGAGAGTACACTTTAAAATCAGATCAAATCAATGAGTATGTATTTTATCTATCACAGCCCCAGTAATAAGACCTATAAGCAAGACTAAAATTGACTGGTGGACCCGTCAATTCTTTGTCTGAAAAGTGATTCTAAAGCTGCACAGATCCCCCAAAATCTGACACACGACAATATTAACAATGTGCCATATTGTTTGTATAAAAACAAGTCAGGAAATTGGGTACTGGTGCCTTATAGATTTCAATACAAAATTTCAACATTAAATTATATACAATGTTTTTAATTCATTTATTTTTGTTTTAGTTGAGTTTTACTACCTTGCACCACATTGATGGAAAACTATGAAGCATTGCACACTACGGATTGATCATCTAGTAATCATATTTAGAGTCTACTATTAAATTCACTCAGATCTTCTTGACGGGTCTCCATCAACTTGGAGATAAAATCAATATAAATACACTTAAAGGCTCTATAATACGCAACATTTACTCATTTGAAGCTTTTAGTCATGTTAGAACGTTGTTATCTCATCAAAACATACTTGGAGTTGTGTTTTGTTTCATTCAAATATGTTTGAGTAATCCATCTCCATGCTCTGTTCCACCTTGTGATGTCATGAAGTGGTAGTTTTATGTTAACAGCTACCTTTTACAGTTTGTTTAGGAGCAATTAGTAGCTCCAGTGGAACATCTGTATTATGAAATCATGAGGGAGAAATTTGTGTTTTCTGTCTGAAAGAAGAACTCAGCCTAAATATACAGGATTTGTGTGATGTGAATGAAACAAACCACAACTCTGACCAAGTTTTAGAAAAGGAAACATCATAACATAGATCAGAAAATAGCAGTAGCAGTATAGCAATATCCAGCAACAAGTCATTATTAGCTATTGTTATTTTCCCCCCACTGGTCATAATATTGTACCACATTGTTATGCACACTCCACATACAAAGTTACCCATAATTCCTTGCTTCCACCTACTTCTTATGCTATTGGCACCACATCCCGACACTAAAAAGGCAGTGTTGTTGCTGGCTGAGTTACAGGCACAGGGCAGCCTCTAAAAGTTGGAGATAGATTTTATTATGTAAGTAATTAAGTGTTCTCAATAAAATGCTGCACTTAATGTTGTCTTAATTAGAGAGAATAAAATGTCTGCCTGCACCTGGGCTTTGTCTGGCTCAGTGGCTGCTACTCTGCTGACACCAGGGGAATGCATTTTTGAATATTTAATTTGACTGTGTTTGGCTTTGCTATTTGAATTCTCCGTATTTGCTCAATATGGTGCAATGATTATATGAATGGAACAATGCAAACTGTGCTATAATAATTAATGGGTGTAAAATAACATCATTATTCATCAAACTATAATAATGTTTTATGTGTTACTCAAGGATAGCAATTTTACTTGTTCCACTTTACTACTCTCAATTCTCTATCGCTCTTCTGCTAGCTAGAGCGATTGTTTGTAGTATTGTTGATACTTTGCAGTGAATAACATCAATATTCCCTTGGGGTGTGACGCTAAATGTAGGCTCTGTTCTGTCTGAAGCTTGGTAGACTTTAATATGAGTTTTAAATAAACACAAACTGACCATAAAGAACAGACTTAGTTGGAATTATCACAGGTGAGATGATCTGTGCTGTTAGACAAGTAGCCTGATTCATCAGCCGGTTTCACTTCATGGACAGTCTGACCTCACAACATTAGGATTTGTTCGCTCAACGGTAGACGGGTACTCTTTTATTTAACAAATCGCTGCTATTTGCTGGTGAACAGCATGATGTCACTGAAAAGTATTAATATAAACTAAACAAATAGAAATTTAGAAAATGTGACATTTTCTTCCTATTAATTGTTCTTTTGCGTATTTATCATAAGGTTTTTGATTTATTTAGCAGCATATGAGAAATTGCAAATTTACTGAGGTTTATGACATAAAAGTATGAATGCAAGTCGTGTAAAAAAAAGTCTGTACAATAATATGAGCCCTAACTCCTGTGAAGAAGGAGTAATGACATTAGACCAAGTGAGGATGACCACACAGAGGGGGATAACATGGACCATCTCCTGTTGCTGGACTCTATACTAAACTATTCTAGTCTCAGTGGTGACTGTGTGGAGCAGGAAGCCATTAGAGGGAGTGAGGGAGGCTCAGCAGGACAACTAGTTTTAGAAGTGCTCTGAAGCTACCAGCTGGAAAGGGTTTTATAGTGACTCAGACTGTATGGACATGTGTTTACTACTACTTCTACACCAACAGCTATTATAACTCCTACTACTACAGTACAGAATTACAGCTTCTGCTACTTCTACACCTACTACTACCTCTAGAAATAATTAGGGGTGCACCAGTATGATAATGGTAGCAGATATCAGTGCGGACACTGAAAACAATTGCTAGATTGGATATAAATATATACATATACATATATATATATACATATATATATACATATACATATATATACATATACATATATATATACATATATATATATATATATATATATATATATATATATATATATATATATATATATATACATATACATACACACACACACACACACATATATATATATATATATATATATATATATATATATATATATATATATATATATATATATATATATATATATATATATTGGTTCATCTGAAATCCTCACTGGACATATACAATGATGTAGTAAGACTATTTAGTGGTTGTAATAGGCCCACAAAGTCTCAAATTATTTTTTTTACTTAATTAATTAATTAACTTATTGATACAAAGCTGTTCTGTAGTAGCCAGGCTGATGCCACCTAATGCCTCCACTCAATTTCATTTCTCTCCAGCGACTAGGTCAGGAATCGGAATACACTAGACGGTTTGTTACATAACCAAATAGCAGCAATTGGTAAAATAAAGAAGTACCCGCCTACCATTGAGATTGAGAGCACGAATAGTAATGTTGCAAGGTCAGATGGTTTCCACAAAGTGAAATCGGCTGATGAATCAAGCTAGTTCTGTAGTTACTTGAGGGATAAATAACAACTATATAACACATTTGGATCAGTTATGTCTTATTTTATTTTTAAATAAATGCTGTTGTCAGTCTTGCACTGGCAATAGTTGTTATCATTTTTCAACAGATCACAGAAGTTATACTATTGGAAATGGAAAAAGCTAGATCCCAAGTAATAATGCCTGACATATGAAATGCAAACTTGACAAGCCTCATAAAATCATTACACTATAGTCATTATAATTCACACCACACTATTCCTAGCTACAGCTGCTCTGGATTTCACTGATGGAAAGTCTACCAATCTGTTTCATCAGCTCTTCCGACTCCCCCATCACTCACAGTCATGCACAGGCAAGGTGAGTGGAGCGTCTTGTCTAAGGACACAACAGCAAAACGGTCAGAGCGGGGTTGAATCACTAACCTTTGGCTTGGTGGATGAGCAGCCTAACCTCTGAATCATGAATGTAACCTTTTGTTTAGTAGAGACTGGCAATTCCGGGGTTGAAATTATCCAAATGATTCTAATGAAGGCTTATGCAGTTTAAAAAACACACTGGAGTATTTCTTGTATTACCACATGACATTGCAAAGTGGAACAGTGTTATGTGCTTGAGAGAAAAACTCCTAAAGCCTCAATATGCAGGATTTGTGGGAGAAACTTGAATAAAACAAAACACAACTCTGGAAACAGCACAGATAATACAGGCCCTTTAATATCCAAGAACAGGTCATGAATGTAACGCAGTGAGCTCTGAATAGTCTCTTGTTAACAAACTGACAAAAACTGGGCAAGCATAGAACTGCATTTGAGTAAATTTTAAAATAAATAATCATTAGGTTAAGAATATTGTCACAAAATACTCACAGCTTTGGCACTGGTCCTCTTTGGGCCCCCAGCAGCGACCATTGCAGGAGCGATGGCACTTCTGACCTGAAAATAAGAACACAAATATCATTATTAGTTATACGTACTTACGGTGGACTGCAGTGAGAACACATTACATAGGCAGTACACAGTGTGGCCCAGGAGCTGTAATTTCCCACAACTCTAATGAATGAGACATGTCATTTCCAAGAGATAAACAGGTTTAGTTTAAGTGCTGTTCCAGACATCATGCGTGCGTCACTGAGGTGGTCTTGGGGCTGTGAGCGCATGGTAATTATGGTAATTGTGGACATGTGCAATAAAAGTGTGTAAAATATGCAGGCACCTCAGCAAATGAGTGGGTTGATAATTATATAATGGGTTGTTATTAATAAATCTTAAACGGTCTACGTAAAAGTAACATTCAGGTTGATCATGTTAAAGAAAATATTAAATAGATTTGAGCATTTTCGTGTTCACTTTATTGGAGTTACTGGTAGAGGCAGCAAAGATATCTGTCACTCTCTCTTTCTTTCTCTCCATTTATTTATCTTTATCCATTCCGGATAGGCTTAATAATAGACTCGTAATACATTCCACACATTTTTATATAGCTCTTTTCCACATTCAAGGCACTCACAGCACACCAGTGTAAGCAGACACCAAGGAAGAGGTGGGTTAAGTGTCTTGCCCAAGGACACAACAACAGCATTCATCATCTGCGGGAGCTTTTTTTTTTTCTCAAAGTTTGAAGCAAAAACTACATTAATCTATACTATTCCTCTACGTATCTATAGTGTGTGCATTACAGGTTATGTAACAGAGCAGATAAATAGTGTCTCATCTCGTCTGACTGGTACAGACTGTTCCTTTGTCAGTAAAAGCCTAAAAGATCCAACCACAGTATAGGCGCTTCTGTACTTTCTTGAAAAACGGTAATATCTATCTATCTCCATATGGGCACAGCAGGAGTCCAGCTGGGAGCAGGTTAGGCTAAATGCATCAAAGTAGATAATCATAACCTCTCGGCTGTAGCCTAGGCCTTTTTTATACTTGGACGACTTAATTGAGTGTCTGTAATTGACCGCGGGGGGAAGTGAGCTGGGTAAGTGCTGTCCTCTGTCCATCAGGCTCTGCATACAAGGATCTGTTATGTCCCAACACACACCAAAAAACAACACAAGAGTTCACAAACATTTCATTGTACAAAATACAGATACAGATATAAGTGACCAGCTTTAAAACCAACCACAAACTTTATGAGACAAGGATGTCAAAGACAAAACAAAAAAGAAACAAAGACAGACACAAAACCTTTAAATTTAGACTTACTGTTTTAAAGAAGCGAGAAAAAGGGATATCTTATAACTGTATGATATATTTCACAACAAATATAAAATATTGGACATATTAAATTTTGACAGCACCCAATCAAAATAATGTAATCATCAGTCATGTTTTGACAAAATTGAGTTGTTTGTATATTTCATGGCTCCAAACTCTTCTGCATCTGTAGGTGTCATTGATTCAACAGAGTTTTACAGACAAAACACTTTCACCCTGAGTCATCTTCTTCACTAAGGCGATTTGTGCACCATAGAAACTTACTGTAGCCTCGCTAAAATCTATATCTTTGTTCTCTCAAAGCAAAATATGAACTTCAATTTGTCTGGGAATGTTAGTTCAGATTATTTCTACCTTGTCTGCTCTAAACATAGATTTAGTCTATTATGTGAATAATTACTTTTTCTCTTTTTTCCATCAGATTTCTGTGTAAAAGTATAGGAAAATAATGCAAATACAAGGAATGTCAAGAATTATGACTTTCACAGTCAGTTGTAATTAAATATGCCTGTGTGGCTGTTGTAAGTATTTTATTACCAATATATGATACAAATTAAATTTACATCCCAAATAATTTTAATGAAATGTATTTATTAATGAAAAGTTTGATTTTATGAAGTTGGTCTTATAAAGGTTTGGCAATTTATTAGACAGTGTCAACAAAGGATTTTAATAGATAATGAATCACCAATGATGTAACAATAGTGACATCACATCACAATGTTTTTCCTCCCAGCATTTATAAAATGGAAATTTGATCCGTGGAAATAACTAGTTTGTGCTCCCACTGATTTAATGTGAGTCAGTGTGTGACAACAGTCAGCAACATCACATCACCAGTCACACAGAGACACAACAATCAGAAAAAAAATAATTGATTATATTTTGAAATTTGAAAATAAAATGTATTTTGATTGTTTTATTTCACTATTTGCACAGAAGTTTGATCTTTAATGAGAAACAACAGAACTCAAGTTTAAAACCAAATAACCGAATAACTGAAGAAAATTCAGCACGCAAATCTCCCAAGTTATTATTATTATTTTTTTGTTATACAGTATGGTAGGTTTTTTTTTTTTTTTTTACTATACATACTTGATGACAGCTCACACAGAACTCAATAGAGTAAAAAATCGAATGACTTTTTTTCTTTTTTCCCTGAAAGGGTAAAAAAAAAATGACTTAATGTAATTATGTTATGAAACTAAGAATTGGATTAACATGTAACAGTTCTTGAAATGAAAATGTACTTTATAAACTGAACAATGCCTCTGCAGATTTCTGTTTGCAGCATTTTTTATAAACCACTAAAGAAAATATCAATTCACAAAATGCATTTCAAAGCTATTTTACGTGTTAATAAAATATAGCTTTTTTAGATTTGTAGTCATAATTCTCGTACACTGTTACCAAGTTCTTCTCTTATCGCTCTATAAGTGTCCATCCGGCCTTTTCCACCTCATCTCCTCTACTGGAGTGAGCAGCACTAGAACTACCACTTTGGCCATGGTTGAGAGTGGGGTCGGGAACCTTGACTGAACGTACAAACAGGATAATAATATAAATGTCACACAGTTAGAATCTTGTCTGACAGAGCACAACATAGCTCTATCTCAGTGCTGTCTCTCCAAGTGCAGTCATTCGTGAAGTGAAGTCATACACAGGTTTTTATTTAGTGACCAAGGACTCCTCCTCTGTCTCCACTTATAAATTCTGTCTGACCTGAAATAAACCCGAGTCTACTCCTTTCACTGCTCATATTCTTTTATAGGACACTTACAGGTGAATAAGGTAAAGAGGTTTATCACTGCAGGATTTCTCAGCTGTATCTGTGCCTTCAAGACAAAATATTTTGGACGTTTTAAAGGGCTTGTCCTCATCTTTACAATTTTGCTATATTTTTTAACAGTTTGCAGCAGTCCAGTGTATTATTATTATTGCACTGTGAATAGAGACAAGAAATTATTAAAGTGTTAAAGTTGCACAAGGTAACTTTTCTTCTTCTTTCTGCAGTCTGTCACCAGTTTAGCTCCATGGAGATGTCGCCTGGAATGTTCTACAGTATGGCGTTACACTTACTTATTTCTACAGAGACAGCAGGTGACACCATAGGGCCAAATGAACAAATTACAAATCAAATCTGTGGAGAGGCGAGCCCACTCACGGTAAGAATGCAACTTTTTAAATCAATAAATAAACATGTTATTGAGTAAATGCAGCAGGGATGCGTTAAATGCCATACCGGGACATTCCAGACAAAACAACAACATTTCCATGGAGATTTTTGTTGGGCAAAAACAGATTAAATATGCATAAGGTTTTAAAATAATCCCATATTTTAACAGAAAAATATGGCACAATAATAAGTCTGTCATTTATAAGCAAAGAATTAAATTAAGATGATGGTGTTAATACTGGATTACAGATTAGGAGACCTCTTGATCTTTTGGCAGTGCATAGGATTCTTGCTCAATAATCTGGATAAATTTGGGGGTGAAGGGACAGCAGGGAGATTAGGTAAATGTTAGGATGTGAGTATAACAGCAGAATAAAGTAAAAATTCTAAACATTTGATCCATTAACGTTCGGCAGGCTTTTTATTCAGTGAAATGTCAATACTAAATCAATAAACAAGAACAACTGTACTTTCTTGAATATTTTCCTTCATGAACTTTTTATATACTTTTATTGCAAATACATGAATAAATAAATACAATTCGATTCAAATGATGTGGAAATCGTCTTAATCTTGCACAGATGGGCATACAGTAATCAATATACAGTAAACCTAATTTGCTCTCTTTATTTAACATAGTTGAATGTTTGTTTATAAGGTTAAGATGTTTGTGTACATCTCAGCCAATCACAATCCTTATCGATGAAAGATCACACATTTGTTGTTTTACATTTTCTAAGCAATAATATAATAGTTAAAAAAAACAAACATAAATTTTAATATTTTCTGTTGAACATCATAGCTATTGAGTGTGACAATGCAGACTATTACCACAATCATTAAATGGAATATGTGACCCTGACTTTGACAGTATATGCCCATTTGAATCTTATTCATAAATGCATAATTTCTTTGCATTGGGAAATCAAAGAAATGAGCCTGGGGCTGGGTCGAGGGTGAAGCAGGCAGACCGTCTGAGCTGGAGGCAAGGTCTTCTTTATGCTCTTCTCTGTTCATTTGGATTACTTTATAATATAGACAATGTGTACTGTCAGGCTTATGCTGTTTATAATACTGGAGATCTGGCAGCTGTGTGTAAAATAAATCAGGTCTAAAACAGATTATAAAAAATAAGAAGCCTAAAATAAATCTAGGACTTAAAGGTGTCACATGTAACTTGTCTGGTGGAGGGTTTTTGTCTGGAATATTCCACAATGTGGAATTCAAACTTGTAGTTGCAATTATTCAATCCAAGGTCTTTTATTGCTTAGAAATACCTTGAAAAACATGCATTCTTAAATAAGCAGGCTTGCCTCTTCACAGATCTGACCTGTAACTTGATAGTGGGACTTGATTGTCACCATAAAGAAATAGGCATTTAATGCCATACTGTGGAAAGAAATAACATCTCCATTGAGACAAGCAGATGGCAAAAAACTCTACTAGAAAAGTTACATAGTGCACCTTTTTCTAAAATACTACACTTGCACTGTAAATGATCAGAATTTCAAAAGCTGCTGAATACCACAAATGAGCCTCTGTGCCACTAGGGGCGCCCTCCTCAAAGTCTGAAACCCAGCGCTTAATGGTCATGACGAAACAGCCTTAAGAAACAACAACAACAGCAACAGCAGACTTGCTCATAAATGTCAAACAGCTTAAGTGCTAAATGAAAAAGACAAAGGCGAGTGTGTTTGTGGGCTAAGACAGTCTTTGAAAGGCAGGGTGAGGGGAGGTCACAGATTACCTCATGTTTCTCTAATGAATGTATGCATGTGCCACCTTAAAGCCCCTTGGCTGCAGCTTACTGCTTCATTTACATGTTCAGGACAATAGGAGCCTAATGTTGTTATGGTCACAAAACTGGGTCAATGGGTGATCTGCAATTGTAACATTTGCTCACAATCAATATTGGTGTAGAGAAAATACTTGCCTGTAATTATAATAATAGATGAATTATGTTAAAATGGAAGCCCTATAAGTTGTAATCATAACTCAGTTCTAAAAAGTTCTACACTGAATTTAGAAAGGAGTGATGCGTTATAACTAGAGCCCGACCGATATGGATTTTGCTGTGGCCGATATGAAACCGATATAATGGAAGTTGGAGCTGCCGATAGCCGATATAATCGCCGATATATTTAGTGATGTAAGAATTCACTGTAAATGTTGAATTGTTAAAAAACTTAGGTTTGGCTCTGGTGGATTTTAAATTGGGTTTATTTAGGCAACATTTATTGTTATTCTGCCTCTTTACATCATATTTACAGACAGTAGGTTGACTTAATGGCATTTTTGCATCACATTCTAGACACTAGTGATGGGTATTCCAGTTCTTTTTAGAAAACCGGCTCTTTTGGCTCAGCTCACTAAAAGCTGCTGGTTCTTTTGGCTCCCAAGTGGCTCTTCAGATTGTTTTGTTGCAAGCAGGACTAAAGCACGTCTAAAGCAGGACTGAATCAGGACTGAACCAGGTCTAAACCAGGACTGAAAAAGGACTAAACCGGGACTTATTTATTTTATGCTAAACTACAGTCAAATATGCTCGTTTTTTTTTTTTTTTTTTTTTTTTAATCCTACGTACACGCAAATTTCTCAAAGTTTCATTTTTAGCCGCTGCCGCTGTCAAACCACGAATCTGCACGCGGCGTGAAGAGAAAAAAAGTGAGAGAAAGAGAAAACACGGCTCCCAATAAGGATCAGGCTCCCGTCGTTCCCTTTAAAGAGCCGGTTCTAAGAGTCATTTCGTTCGCGACGGACCCATAACTAGTAAAGAAAGTAGCGCTATTAGCCTTTAGCCATAAATACGTGCGCGCCGCGGTAATTAATTATATGCGCAAATGTCATAATTCACACGTCTATTCACAGCTCATTTACATATCAGTGCAGGTCCAGTAGCAAATATACGGCCAATATAGTCACTTTAGAACAGACCAATAGAAAACAGTCTGTTTATGTGCGGGAGCTACAGCAGCTAACCCATAACAAATGACAAAAACTAGCTTCAGAGTCGACATATTTCCAACACTCACCGCTCATACAGGCTCCTCCTCACATCACAAATCTGCACTAATAAATGTCCTTTTAATCCAGACTCAAACCGATTGTCCGTAAAAAGAATATAATCTCAGTGTTTGGATCTGTGTCTGCAGGTGTAAACAAACACACGTGAGTGACGCGACTCTGTGGTGTGTTCAGGGACAGTATGGACACACACAGACAAATGACTCCGTAGATAAATACTGATGTGGAGCCACATATTAGGACATTTATCTGTCTGTAAATTGGATTAAATGAACAGAATGTAGAGAGTCTAAGCTTTATAACGAGGTATAACATGCCCACGTGAAATATCGGCCCCTTTCAGCAAGCATATCGGCCGATAGCCGATATGCCTAAAGTTGCCCATATCAGCCGATAATATCGGCCAACCGATATATCGGTCGGGCTCTAGTTATAACACCATTTTACTTTAAAAGTGCACTATGTAACTTCTTGTTGGAAGGCTTTGTTTTCCATTTACAGGCAGTGTTTAAGGCGACAAAAACGCACACCACAGACACAAGGAGAATCTTATGAGATTTTAAATCTCCGATCACAAAGAATACAGTGGGATATGTTTCCGGACCACAGGCTACACAGTTGTGAGCGCATTTGCAACAGCTGTTTCCTGTATAGAGTAAAGCCACTCCTTTGAGACTCTTAAGTGTTCAAAAGATCAGAGCACTGCATTTCTAGTTTAGACACATGTTATTATTATTTGTGAAATGTAGTGCAGTACTTCAGATACATGATTTTTAAAGCATAAAAGGTTGGTGACAAAGTACACAGGAGGTAGAGTCACTATCGCGAATCTGCTTCTTCAACTTGATTCGTGCTCTGTGTCGATGTAAACAGACACATGTGGGGAGCTACTCTTGCCTTTTTACTTTTAAAGAACACATCAAACTGGATTAAAAGCGCCGTTTTGTGGACTGGGTGTCATTATTTGCTGACAAATTCTATGGATAATGTAGATGAGATGCTGTGGTTTAAATTTACAACTTTACAAGAGGTGAGTAATAATTATTTTCGCTATTTTCTGAGTTTGCATCTTGCACCTCTGTGTCTGTCACTCCGTCTGCCGTTGTTGCTTTGTTTGATTGGCTGCTACCATAGCATTGCTGATGTTTGGTGGTTATGATCTGACAGAGCAGCTCAGAGTCACATTGACACCACACACACGAGGAGAGCAGAGGCTTCAAAATCGCATACGAAGACACAAAGTCGGGTCACACCTCCCTGAACTCAGGGGGAAAGAAAATCACAGCCAAAATCGGGCAAATTCTCTTGTAGTGTGAGGCGGCCTTAAGTGTGATGTCACTTACATGCCACACTGCTGTTGGTGGGCACAACCAGAGAATAGGCTCCAGGGTTCTTCACAATATCCTGCCAGTGGATGGTGTCTGCATGGCACAGGAACTTGTTCTGGTCCACGTAAACTCCTCCACTCAGGATCTCTGTGGAAAGAAACAGAAGAGAAGTTACACAATTATCTGTAGTTTATATTGTGGCTTTGAAATAAAATAAGCTTTGGGAAGGAACATTAAATAAAATTATTTCTGGCTAAAGTTTGTGACATGTAATCTAAAGTACACTGCAGATAGAAATGACATTATTAAATGAATGGTGACAAATCGAACATGGTGTCATTTATAAAGTGATTTAGGTTTTTTTTACCTTCAAGGCACTCATATTCATATAACATTGTATGCAGACACTGAGGGTGCGGTGGGATAAGACTCTTGCTCAAGGAAACAAAGACAGTATTCATCTTGTGTGAGCTGGGATCAAACTGCCAAAGTGTGGGTAACTCTACCGCTTTATATCAACAATGTTTATGCCAGAAGCAGGATTCAAACCACCACCTGAACTACTTCTGCCCATGTAAGTATCAATCAAGTCTTAAAGATGCACTGCGTAAGATTTTTAGTGGAGGATCTGCCACCTGCTGTCTCCATGGAAATGTCATTGCTGCATCTAGACCAGTGTTTCCCAAACTTTTTTTCAGGGGACCCATATTTTAAAAGTCACAAATCTCTGTGACCCAAGTTAATAGACATTATTAGTAAATCACAAAATAAATCTGAGACCATTACTGAACATTAATGATGATAGTTTATTATTAACTGAGTGATCGTGTCTCTCTGATCAATTAGTATTACCGTATTTTTCGGACTATAAGGCGCACCGGATTATAAGGCGCAATATCAATAGTGTTGAATTATCTCATCTGTTTTCATACATAAAGCGCACTGGATTGTAAGGCGCATTAAGGGAAACAAACGGACGACACTTGAGACTTGAGAATTTTTTATTACCTATGAGGCCGACTCAAATATAGATTGAGTAATAATGTGTTAAATGCAGCTTTGTGCACATTTCTTTATGTTTTACAAAAACAAAACTTAAAACCACTTGGCTAATTTGCATAAACTATAAGTGATTTGAAAAAAAGAACATGACTCAGTGGAATATATGTGAAAATCGGTTCAAGGTCAGTAAGTATAACCAGAATTAATACATAAGGCGCACCGTGGATTTACTCAAGTTAAAAACAGGACTCAAGTTTTAAACAAGGAAACACAGTAATCAGTATTTCCCACCCACAGAAAATTAGGTTAGGCAAGGTGGCGCAGAGATTCTGTGCACGGAGAAAAAGTGAGGAGTGGGGGGGCGCACAGAGACCTACTATTGCAGACCTACATGCAGATCATGATAAGACCACACCCCATTCACATAAGGAATTAGAGCAATAGAAATGCCCATAATGAATAAATGCTAGATAGACATGTTTAAAGTCATACCATGGAACATTCCAGGCAAATCAGTAACATCTGTGTGGAGACAAGAAGGTGCTGGACTCTCCATCAAAAAAGTTGCGCAGTGTACCTTTAATGTCTGAACTTAGCCATAGCACTTTGACTGTTATCATAGAGCTGATACTTTTTTGCGTCATTAGATAATTTGACACAATTTCTAAACAAAATGCTTTGCTGCAGCATGGTTTTTATTGCTGTTAGGCATGGGAACTGCGTAATCCAAGGTTTTTCTTTTCGCTCCAGAAATCAAGGCGGAGAAAGACGAAAAACAGGCGTAGAGGAACGAGCAGGCAAACAGACACAAAATGAATCCCAGTAGCAGATTTGCATTATTTACACAGCTTACGTGTTCTCTATCTTCCTCCAGACACATTACCAACACAGGGCTGAAACTGATGAGAGGACTTCCTACCAACAGTGACCACCAGCTGCCAAAACGCAATATTGTTCCACAAAAGCTCCATTAAATGATACTCTGTGGATAATAGGTGAAGCTGGATGCATTAGCTCTCTGACTTTGCAATTCTTCAGACCCCATCCCCAAACTTCTCTATCTTTCCCTGTGTGTGGTGTGAGCGGGGTGGCGAAATTAATCCTGGCTCTCACTACAGGAGGGATATCGCTTGGCTAGGAGGGTCTCAAAATTCAAATTGTGTGCCCAATGTGAGACCGAACTCTGGCAGAAATGGACCCAAACAACGGAGTATAGTTTTATTATTTGGACAACACAATATAATACAGTAAGTTACATGGGAAAACAAAAAATGGCGTCAACCTGTATCTCGTACAATTGAGGATAAATTGTTGAAGTATATATTGTACATAGTACTGAGGATCAATAGAGATGTGGGCACTAAGGTACAACAGTAAGGGGATTTACAAAAGACATGCCATTCATCCATACTGTTGTAAATGGAGATTCACCACAACCTTAGAAATTGTGTACATTGTAGACTTGGGGTTCAGCAATGTTTTCTTTAATTTTACAATCTGCCTTAGCTCTTGTTTACGCTCTTAAATCAAACTGGAGTTGTGGGAGCCCAAATAAGAAAACAAGAAACAAGGAGTAGAGTTGAAAGAAAACAGTTCTAACTTGGGCTAAAATAGCTTGTACACCCGTAGGTACACACATGCAATGCGATGAAGAAAAAAGGCTTCTCTTCAGGATCTAAGTGGGGAGATGGGGAGGCTGAGAGGGTTGGTGTTTTGCTGATGTGGTGAAAATGGTCCATGCTAATACTCCAGCTAGGCACTAGATACTACTGGTCCATACTACTACTCCAGATAGGTACTATACTAATGGTCCATACTAATAATTCAGGTAGATACTAGATAGTAATAGTCCATACCAATACTCCAGATAGGTACTAGGTCAGGGGTCACTAAATTTTTTTCTCTGGGGGCCACATTATCACTCCTGACTGTGATGGGTGGCTAGCGGTGGGTTGGGGGGTAGGCCGAGGAAGGACTACATACTGTTGAGTAGCCAGTCCACCTTTCATCCGCTGAATCCTATCTTTTCTCATTTGTCTGATATGTAAAGAAAGTGTGTTTCTTTACAAAAAAGTGTGTTTCTTTACATATCAGACAAACTGCACGGTCACTGAAGAAAAAAATAATTGGTCGTCCACTGTTCTTTGAAAACTCTGCTCTCTGTCAACTTTTTGTATTTTAACATTAGCCATTTTGCTGTCCTTAACTACACTACAATACAGCATTGACTGTCACCGTTTGATCTCAAGCTTGTCAGATGATGAAAATTTGGTGGCAAATCTGGTGGCAAATGTAAATACATCATATAATTATTTAAATATAAATACTTCACATAAATATATATTTTTAAATGAAAAAAATCAACAAAATACAAGATGCAGACATGTTATTATTTTCCAAAAAGTAATAAAAAAAAGGCCATGACAACTTTTGAGGATTGCCTTATAGGGCCAGATCAAGTGGTGGGGGGCAGAGGGGTTGTGGGGTGGCGAAAGGTGAGAGGAGGGCTGGAGTCAGACCATGGGTCTTATTTTGATGACCCCTGTACTAGATACTAATGTTCCATACTAATACTCCAGATAGGTACTAGATGTGAATTAGTTCGTGGCTCAAGATGGCTCCTCAGTGCTCCACTGTGGTCATCAGCTGACAAGTTGCCCTGAGGCACTGACAAAATGAGAGGTAAAAGTTCTCTATATGTAGAAGTCTTCACATGTACAAAAAGGCATCAGTCTTTAAAATATGTACACTACCAGTTGGACAAACCCTCTCAAGTTTAATATTTTCTATATTATATAGACATACTCAAGACATAAATATATATATAATGCAAGCTATATGGAATTATTTAGCTAAGATTTTATTATTTTATTTTGAGTTTATTTTTTGTTTACCACCTTCATTGCCTTCAGTGAGCATATGCAATGTAAATAATCACTGGACTAAAAAGAAATGAAAAGTGTGTCCAAACTTTTGACTGGTAGCATAACGTGGGGTTTGCCACATGCTTGTCTCCATGGAGATGAGACTTTGATTAAAATGTTCCACAGTAAAACATTCAAGTTATCCATACTGAATTGATTTAATTGCATGTACTGTATTTTTACAAGTCAGGCTGGCACCACCTTGTGCCTCTGCTCAATTTTATTTCTCTCAAGCAACTAGGTCAAGGATCAGAATACACTAGATGGTTTGCAAGAACCTCGGAAGTTACAGACCGTGCATCGACCAATCAGAGAAGAGCTGTGAAGCCATGATGTCAAACTCAAGTGCCTGTCTGGGTATTTTTTGTGATACAGCACAACAGTAAACAAAACGGTTGAGATGGATGTAGATGAAGCCATACATTCTGTGTTGGTAACGCTTAACGAAATCGAGGATTTACAGCTGGAACAAAGAGAATGTTTGCTGAATTTTATCAAGGAGAAAGACATTATTGCCCTACTTCCTCCAGGATTTGGCGCATTACATACGGCATGACCAAATAGGAGCAATTGGTTAAATAAAAAAGTACCCGCCTACCATCGCACAAACGAATCCTAATGCTGCGAGGTCAGACAGTTTCCACAGAGTAAAACAGGCTAGTCAGGTTTATTTTTTATTGTTATGAACATGAACAAAAAAAATTTAAAATCATACGAAAACTCAGTGAGCACTCATTATAACACAATATCAGACATTTCACCTTTCAATCCCATTCCCATACGTTCCCATAGCTTTCCCAACATTTTCTCTCTTATTTCAACACATGTTAGCAATACTTTCATTACTGTTAAATGCTTGCTTTGCACATTAGCTACAGTTAGCGGCCAGGGGCAAATCAATGGTTAAATCCTGTTGTTGATTGTTTAGCGACTGGAGGAAAAACGCCTTAATTAGTTTGTGGACGTGGCTATGGCTGGTGCATCCCAAAAAAAGACTTCATCATTATTCCTTATCCCGAGAGCAACTCCGAGTGTAGCTTATCAGACACCTTCAAGAAGCCAATGTAATATCCAGCGTGCATGACCGTTAGGAAAACAATATGAAATTCACAGAGGCAGAACAAATGTATGCAGGCAATTATTTTGATGGTAAGAGCTTGTTGTTGTGAGTTTTTTCCCCTTATTGCAGAGCGGGGATGAGTTTGATTAAGAGTGGGAGGC